CTCTCTGAATAAGGCTGGATTTCTTCATTTAAGAAAAAAAGAAGCATGTGGAGAATCACCAATTTGATTCCCTTAAAGCCCTCTCATTCTATAATAAAAGCAAAGGGGGTGCGCCTGGGTGGCTCAGTCAGTTGGGCGTCTGACTCTTGATTCGGGCTCAGGTCATGATCTCAGGGTTGTGGGAATGAGCCCTGTGTTGGGCTCCATGTGGAGCACGGAGTCCACTTGGGATTCTCTCTCTTCCTCTCCCTCTGCCCCTCACACTTGTCTCTCTCTCTCAAATTAATTAATTAATTAATTAATTAAAAATCTTTTTTAAAAAGAGCAAAGGGACTTATTCCAGCATTCTATTATCTTGTGATTTGGCTTCTCTGTTTTTTCCATCCTGTGAGCATCTTGAAGGCAAGAATTATCTTATTTATTCTAGAATTCATATCACTAGCCAAGCACAGGGCTTGTCACAGAACAGGTGCTCAGAAGGTATACATTCATTCATTCAACAAATATCTGTCGCACACAAATGAGGGCCATCACTGTGCTGTGTGCTGTGGGTAAAGCACTGAGTAAATTAGATGCAGTGCCCGCTTTTTCAAACTGTATTGAATTAGGGGAGCAGAAAAGAAACAAATAAAAGTGATAGTTAAATCCATCTGGTTGTAAATGCTACAAATACAATAATATTGGGTAACATGGTAGAGAGTGACTCAGGTGGGTGGTGGCCACACTTGGGCGGAACCTTTTGCAGACATGGAAGAGCATCCCAGGCAGAGGTAAGAACTAATGCCGAGGCCTGGCATGTTCAAGGAATAGAAGGATAGGCATGATTGAGGGGGAGGATGGTTGGAGGCAGGTCAGAGAGGCCAGCAGGAACTGATCATGTGGGATGTTGTAGGCCAGATGAGGATTTTAGATGTTATTACAAACTTGATAAGAAACTTTTGGAGGGTTATAATTAGGAAAGTGGCATGCCCTGGTTTTTAAAAGATCCCTTCAGCCCCTTGCAGAGAATGCATTACGGGGGTGAGAGAGGAAGCAGGGAGACCAGTGAGGAGGCTCCTGCAGATGGGGGCGGTGCAGGTGGAGATAAATGGTTACATTTGCGACACAGTTTGGAGAGAGAGCTGACAAGACCTGCTAATTTGTTGCTGCACACCCACCAGCTCCCGCCGTTGGGATTCAGCACCACGGACAGCGCAAGCCTCGCAGGTCCCCCACCCCCCCTCGCCAAAGCCTGATCCTATTTCTCAGGAGACACTGAGCTTCCTGAGGGCAGCTCTCGGAACTCCTTCCTCCCTTGTGGTTTTTACACATCTTTATTTTTAATTATAAAACATTTCAATATACAGAAAACTCATAAAGTACAGACGCGGATGTGCCCCCCAGGATTAAATGGGTGTTAACATTTCCCCATATTTGCCTCACAACCCTCTCTTTTTAAAAAGGAAAACAAATAGGGACGCCTGGGTGGCTCAGTTGGTTGGGCGACTGCCTTCGGCTCAGGTCATGATCCTGGAGTCCCGGGATCGAGTCCCGCATCGGGCTCCCTGCTTGGCGGGGAGTCTGCTTCTCCCTCTGACCCTCCCCCCTCTCATGCTCTATCTCATTCTCTCTCTCAAATAAATAAATAAAAAGAAAAAAAAAAGGAAAACAAATAAAACACAGTCAATCCAGCTCAATACCCCTTGCTCTTCTTCCCCAGAACTAACTGAGCTGAAGCCAGTGTTTTTCTGTCCCAGGCATGTTTTTGTATTGTTATTATCGAGTTATGCATCCAAAACCTGTAATTCTATTGTAACATATATTTTTAAAGTTTACATAAATAGTATAATACTGTACATATTCCTTTGTAGTTTATTTTTTCACTCCATATTATGTCATAGAGACTTATCCCTATTGGTACATGTTGATCTAGTTTGTTCATTTTAACTGTGATAGATGATTTCATTGTACTTATAAAGCAGCTTATTTTCCTGTTCCCCTGCTGAGAGGAGTTAGGCTGCTCCTCATTTTTCTATTACATACTAAAGTGCAGTGAATATCCTTGGACATGTATCCTTTTGCATGTGAGTATGAGTTTCCCTAGGATGCATAGAAAACACTGTGGGTGACCTGCCCAGATTCCTTTGACCTGCAGGTGCACTCATTCTGCAGCTGCCCTAAGTGTTGGCTGCTAAGAGCCCATAGCTGCTCCCTTCCTGGGAACCTCCTCGCCCAAGAAGATATACTATACAACACCACCCACCCTCCCACAATGGAGCAGGCAGCCTATGGGTAATCAATGACTGACAAGGGTACAAGTCTGGCCCCCTTGCTTCAAGGCAGATCAACTCTGTGTTGCTATTAATGCTCCAGAGCTCCCTGTGGCATCAGATTGAAGCTAATCTCCAACAAGAACATATTGTTGCCTAGCATTCCCTCCCACCCTATCTGCCTTCCCCTCTTTCACCTGGGAGCGCTCCCTCAGTAAATCACCTGCACAAGAATCTCAGGCACTACTTAGGGAACTTAATCTAAGACAAACACACACTAAGGTGGAGCTGCGTGGTCTTAGATTTGCTCATCTTAAAATTTACTAAGTGTTTCCAAATTGCTCTCCAAAGTAGTTGCACCAAATTACATTTCCACTAGTGGTTTATAAACGTTCCTATTCCCCCAACACCTTCATCAATGCCTGCGTTATAGACTAAGTTTCCCAATCAAATTGGTGTAATACCTATCTCGTTATTGTTTTAATTTGCATTTCCATGTTTACTAGTGATGTTGAGAATATCTTTTATACCTTTATTGGCCATTCAAATTTCTTCATCTTTTATTTGTCTGTTCGAATCTTTGCCCACTTTGTTATGCTTTGAAATGTTTTGGTAAATTGATTCTTTGAAATTAAAAAAAAATTGTTTTGGAAATGAATTCTCTCTTGGTTGGTCATACAGCTTGCAAATATTCCCCCAGCTATGGCTCTAACAAATCTATTTCTTTTTTGCCATGTAGAAGTTTCCAATTTGATTGAAATAAGGTTTAACATTGTTTTCCTTTATCATTTGTGCTTTTTTGTGTCTTGCTTATTTTCTGCTCTAAGGTTATAAAGTTATCTTCCTGTTTTCCTTTGAAAGTTTTATGGTCTGCTCTTTACATTTAAACCTTAATCAACCTGGAATTTATTTTGTGAGTGGTATGAGCAGGGATCCAATTTTATCTTTTCCTATGGGGGTATTTAATTGTCCTAATATCACCCATTAACTAGACCATCCTTTGCCCCTTGTCATGTTTCGAACTCTCATATATATTTGGATCCATCCCTAAGCATTATTATTCTCTATTCTTTTTAACTGTTTCTGTATTCCCAGAACCAAATAAAACTATCTTAATTATTAAAGCTGTATAGTAATTGTTGACATTTGGTAGGGTGAGGTTCCTTTCCTCTTCCTCTTTTTTCTTCTTCAAAATTGTCTTGGCTATTCTAGGTTATTATTCCATATACATTTTGGGATGACCTTGTCAAGTTGCAGAGAAAACTCCACTGCAAATTTTATTGGAAATACAATAGATTAAATTGGAGGGGACTAGCTGACTTTATGATAGCAAGGCTTCCTAGACAGGGACCCCATTGTTTCTTCTCTGGCTATTCTTCTTCCTCTTCTCTGCATCCATCCTCACACAAGGGAAATGAACCACCAAATTCTTCTCGTCCTTCAATGCCCAGCTGAATGCTTCCTCCTCCAGGAAGTCCTTGGTGACAGCCCTGGCCCTCCAGGCTTTCTCTCCTCTAATTTCCTCTAATCCTTTTGTGTGCCCCATTTCCTGGACACTTAGCATAGCCATCTGGCTGGGAGCCACTCTTGTGCATTCCATACCTCCACCTAGTTTTGGCTCCTAAAGGGTCTGCCTTCATCTTTGTATCCCCCAGTGTCACCCAGCACATAGCAAGTGCTCCAGAGACCCTGACAATTCCTTCCCTTAGGGAAGGAAGTGTGTGGTAACAAGTTCTTCCTCATAGGAAATGGCTAGTGCCATGGGGAGGAGGCCTGGAGCAGAGTTTAGAGTTTCAGGAGAACACACCTGACTAGAAATCAGACAGTTCTAGCTTTACGTGGTCATTCTGCCAGTTGGGACACTGGCCTGAGCATGCTTGTGCCCAGCTGTAAGATGGAGACAATATTACCAATCTCATAGGGCTGTTGGCATTATTAGTGAGACAATGAAGGGAACACAGTAAGATGTTTTCTCCTTGGTCTACGTTTCCAATTTGAGGGGGGTACAGGAATGAAGATCCTTCCCTCAGCTTGACGAGCCGCTGGAGATCATCTGCTTGCTCATCAGTAGCATCCCCAGGGGCATCTTCCCCAAATGGACACAGTCGGGCTCTGCTCTGCCCCCGATGCCGCTGCCCTGGCTCCTGCTGTGCGCCCTCCCCTGGAGCAGAGATGGGTCCTCAGCCCCTGATGTCACTATAGCACGTGCTTACATCCCTCCCCTGCCCATGGCACCCAGGTCTCTCAATGGACCCGTTGGTCCCAAGGAAGTTGTTCCTATGAAATGCTCCTTCCTTCATGTGTTCCTGCTCCAGAGGAGATCTTTCTTCCATAAGAGCACTTGAGGCAAGGGCAATGCTCGCTTGCAAGCAACCGTGCTCCAGTGTTAAGCACCATCTGCACATCTTGAAAGAGAGAATTTGGGGCCTGTGGGGGTGCTTCCTAGCAGAGCATGGGCTTTGGAGTTGGAAAAACCAGGGTCCTGGCTCAGCATTCCCCAAACTTGACTTCAGGTGACTTGACCTCTGTAAGACTCAGCCTCCCCATATATAAAATTGGTGCATGAATCCTATCTCCTGGGATAGATGAGAAGATCAGAGCAGAAAAAATGTATGGGATGCATACAGTAGGTGCACAGCATAAGGCTGCTCTCTTACCAGGTGATGTTGAGGTTGAAAGGATGGGGAAAAAATGGGGGACACAGGCAAAGATGAAGCAGAATGAGGCAGAATTTATTCTCATTGTGGGCAAGTTCAAGACTCAGGATGAAGACCACAGAGAAGCAGATCCCTGGGACCCCAAGGGTACCTCACGCCCGGGGCAGGGGACACACTTTTGCAAGTGCCGGGCCCTCCATGTCCACCCTGACTGTGAGGATCAGAGACCAGGAACTGGGTGAGAGTGGGGTGGGGGTGGGAGGCAGACAGGGTCCTCCCTGGATCGTGTCCTGACCATGTTTCCGACTTCCATAGGAAGGAAGAACAGCTCAGCTATATAGTAATATAATATATAGAGGTGTAGAGAGCTGGCCGCAGCACCTAGGCGGGGCTGAGACTCCCCAAATTATTGCAGGAGGAAGGGTGGGGCTCAGTGCTGGTGTCTCTGCGGAACAGCTGTGCTGGCTAGGGGGAGGGCTGGGCAGGGGGTGGGGAGCTGGGCTTGCCCCTCCCTCTGGGGCCGGCAGGGGGCACAAGGCATCCTGCCCAGTGGGGTTCCTTGGGCCCTGCCCACCAAGCTTCCCCTGGGATGGTGCTTTCTCACCCTGGGTGCTCTTTATGTGCTTTGAAGACCATTTTTGCATTGTCAGGAGTGAGGAAAAAATATTCTGGCATGGTAGAAAAAAGATATTTACATACCCTGGTGGGCCGTAAAGGGGAGGGTCAGTCTCAGGGTGGGGGAGCTTCTGAAGCCCCCTCTCACCCACAGCTGTCAGTGTGGGATGGTGTGTGGGGGAAAGAGCCCTGGGCTGGGAGGCAGGCGGCCTCAGCTCTAAAACTTGGTTGCTGTGTGACCTTGGACAAGGCACACGCCCCTCTCTAGGTCTTGGTCTCCCCAGGTGGCACAAGAGGGGGTGGATGTGGGGCTGAAAATCTGGGATCTTATGGTCCCTGATCTTAGGATTGAGGAGGGAGGGGCGCAGGCCAGGGCTGGGCAGTGAGAGGTTGGCAGAGGGTCTTCCAAGTGAGGAGCCCTGGGACATGGAGGGGCGTTGGGGCCCAGAGGGAAGTTCACGGCCCTGGCCGCTGACCAGGCAGCCAAGTCCAGCTGAGGGCATCTTGTGTACTCTACAGCGATGTCTACACAGTAGGCAGCCAGAGGGGCTGGCCGGGAACCCTGTTTTCCTGTGGAAGCACCGGGGGAGCCAGGTGGAGGCTGCAGGTGGCCCCCCACCTGCTAGAGGGAGGGCTCAGACCTGAGATAGAGCCGGGGGAGGGCCCGCCCGGGCTGAAATGAGGGGGGGCCTGGTGCTGGTGCAGCTCCAAAGTGGCCCCTAATTCCAGCCTCCAGGTGTGGGGGGAGGTGGGCACGAGCCTCTCCCTAGTCCCTGTGGGTGCTGGGGCCTGGGCCCATACTCAGTGGGCGGCGTCAACACCAAGTTCTGTGCTCACAGGCCTGTGACACACGTCCTCATTCATCCACGGTCACGCACGTGTGCCCCCCACCATAATGGAAAAGCATGCACGCCATAAGCACACATCCGTGCTCGGACCTGATGGGTGGACACGCACCCATGGTCACAAAGGCTCCCACGACCTCATGAAAACATCCCTACACACACACACACACATGCACACACACACGCACACACGGAGGCAGCTGAGTGACGTCTCTGTCAGGCTCCGTGTCACTGAGGCCCCAGCCTCTGGGGAAGAGAAGCCCCTCCGCCCTGGGGGCAGATGTCGCAGCCAAGCTGGGCACCGAACGCCCCTTCCCAGGCAGCCTGAGCCCTGCTAAGTCCAGGTCCTGCGGTGGAGATCTTGGCACCTGAGAAGAGGGACAGAGGCTTGGGGGGCTGCCTGACCCCCCGCCAACCCTGCAAGTCCTCTGATGGCCGACATGTCCCGGGTCTGCTTTAGTTGCTGCCCAGGCCCCACTGGCCTTGGGTCAGAGGTGCCGGCGGGGCCCCTGGGTGCTCGTCAGCTGGGCCCTCATGGTCTGGATGCTGCCCAGGATCTTCTTCTGGTGGCCCATGAGGGTGATGCCCAGCGCACGCACGTCCCTGTGAAGGAAGAGTGGTACTGACCTGGTCGGCCTGGGAGGCCGGGAACCATGGGGCCAGGGGTAGACCCATTCCCTGGAGCTTCCAACCTCCTCGGTGGCCCTGCCTCTGGTCCCCTGCCCTCCTCCCCTGTCTGCACCCCCACGGGCCCTGCCCGACCCTTCACTCACTGAGCATTCATACGCAGCACCATGCCCAGGGAGGAGTACCCGCCGGCGGCGAAGTGGTCCCGGTAGCGGCCCATGCGGATGGAGTCCAGCCAGTCCCCCACGGTGAGGCCCCCGCCGCCACCCCCGCCCCCACGAAGGTCAAAGCAGCTCTGGGCAAAGGCAGGGGGGGTGCACCTGAAGCACAAGGGCCCTTGGTAAGTGGCCTGCCAGGGCCTCTGCCCTCCTCAGGGACCCTGGGACTAGTCACCCTCAGCATCCATGCAGGCTCGGTAGTGGGCAAAGGGTCTGACAGGCTAGCCCCAAGCCTGAAAAGCAGAGGGCTGAGGAAAGCTCAGGCAGGACCGGGTTGAGACCCAGGAAGCTCAGGGCTCAGGGGCCCAGGCAGGACAGGGGTCAGGGGCCCAGGTAAGGCAGGGGTCAGGAGCCCAGGTAAGGCAGGGGTCAGGGGCCCAGCCTTGACAAGCGTCAGGGGACAAGGCAGGTCAGGGCTTTGAGACCCCAGCTAGGTGTGGTCCCATTGTCAGGGCTGACACTAAGTCTGGGCCTTATCTGGGGAAATGCTGGGAGAGCAGCTGGGCTTGGGCAGAGCTGGGGTGGGCCCCAGGCACCTGTTGACAGTGGCAGTGGCCCTGAGACTCTCAGGGCTCTGGATGAGGGCATCGAGGACACTGACGATCTGGGAAAAGCGAGGCCGCTGGGCCCTGTCCTTCTGCCAGCAGTCAAGCATGAGCTGGTGCAGGGCGCGGGGGCAGCCCATGGGCGCGGGCAGGCGGTACCCCTCCTCCACGGAGCTGATGACCTGGGGTTGGGGGGGCAAGCACAATGCTGGGCTGGAGGCCGCCCGCCCCCTCCGACGTCCCACGTGGCCTCTGCCCAGCCGGGATCCCGGACTCACGTCACGGTTTGTCATGTTCCAGTAGGGCCTCTCCCCGTAGGCCAGCACCTCCCACATGACCACACCGAAACTCCACACGTCGCTGGCCGAGGAGAAGGTCCGGAAAGCGATGGCCTCTGGGGCCGTCCAGCGGATCGGGATCTTGCCTCCCTGCAAGACACACACAAGTCCTGAGGGCCTCTCCCCAGCCCGAGGCGGGGAGCCGAGCGCTGGGTCAGGGCTGGGAACTGGGCAGCCCAGGAGCGGAGCCACGGCCTCCACCTGCCTAGAGCCCCTGTTCTGCTCGGGGGACCCGTACTCATGGCTATTTTGAAGACTGAGCGAAGGAAGTGTGTGGTGTGCCTGGAACATAGTAGCTGCTCAGTAAGCGCCAGTTAGTTAACAGGCTGATGCCCCGACAAGGGACGAAGCCCGCGGGACATGGCTTGCTCATTATCTCACTGCTCTTCCTTCCTTTCCTTCTTGTTTGTTTCTGTTTTTGTCACAAAATCCTTTCTCTAAGGGAAACCTCGTCCAGATGCTCAGATGCTCAGACCCCGAGGGAAGCTTCTCACTGAGGCAGGGTGGGCAGGCCCGAGCCCTGGCCCACTCAGCCTCCTGCCTTGAAGGTGGCCCCCAAGGCTTCTCTCGAGAAGCCCGCGTCTCTATGGAACAGGTTCTGCGGACACTAGTGTTTAGCCAATCCTTACAGACAGATGTGCAGTGGATTTGTGATTCAGACAGACACGGACCCTCCCAAAACCTCCCAGAGAGTGAGTGACAGTGGGGACCAGCCCTGGTGTCTCTCCAGGCCACCCAGTATACAGGCAAGGTGGGAAAGGGGGCTCCCAATTCCCAGAGGGGGAAACCGAGGTGCAGAGAAGAGGTAGGACTTGCCTCAGGTTGAAGGCAACCCCAACATTTCCAGCTTCACCTCACTACGTGTGGGGGAGCCCTCCCCAGTCCCACTGGAAAGCGGGGGGACCACGCACCGTGGTGGTGTAGGCTGCGTCAGGGTCGTCCTCCAGCACCCGGGAGAGCCCGAAGTCGGACACCTTGCACACCAGGTTGCTGTCAACCAGGACGTTGCGGGCAGCCAGGTCTCGGTGGACGTAGCCCAGGTCCGAGAGGTAGCACATGCCGGCCCCCACGCCTCTGAGCATGCCCACCAGCTGCACGATGGTGAACTGCCCATCGTGAGTCTGTAGGGGGACATGGCTGGGCTTCAGCAAGGCTCACGCCGCTTGCAAAGTATCTTCACCTCTTATGAAGCACGTTCCTGTTTCAGCTCCTTCTCATGGTCTCGTTTACGCTCATAGCGACCCTGAGAGGGAGGTGGGGCTGTGATGACTTCTTACCCATTTTGCAGAAGGAGAAATGGAGGCCCAGAGAGGTGAAGCCCTGGGCCTGAACACTCAGCAAATAAATGACAGGGCGGGGGCTGGAGGCTAGCCATTTCCACCACACCCGCCATGCCTCCCAGCTGGCTGGGGCACTGGGTCTCCACGGAGGCACCCCTCTTAGCCTGTGTGCAGGGCAGAGGACCCCATGCTGCGGAGGGCCCTTCATGTGAAGGGGGGGCTGCAAGACAATTTGATTAAGACCCCTCCCTATTCCTCACTCCCCTACCCCAGGTCCACTGGGTCCAAGCTCCTGCGGGTGTTTCGAGGCCTGACGTTATCTCCCATCACTCAGACTGAACTTCCCTACCCCCTCCCAACCCACGGGGAAGGCAGGGTGGGGCACACACCCGCAGGAAGGCGTCCAGAGAGCCGTTCTCCATGTACTCGGTCACGATCATTGCCAGGCGGCCTGGGGAGGGGTAGAAGGAGGAGGTGGCTCTTGGTGGGGGGATCAGGTCTGTTGATCAGAGACCCCAGGAACATGGCCCCTCTGTGAGCTGCCAAGAGGTGGGCTAGCACGGAGGGCTTCAGGGAGCCTAGGGTTCCCACTGGGGTCCCGGCCTCTGGCCCCCCTCCCCAACCAAGTCATCCGGGGACCTGAACCAGGGGGATGGAGGGGGGACAGGGGCAGGGCAGGGGCAGAGCACGGTGGTCCAGGGATGGACCCAGACTTCTGTCCTGGGGCAGGAGGGACCTTGTAGGGTGAGGCTGCTCTCGCCTGGCACCTACCACGGGTGACGACACCTTCCAGGCGGATGATATTGGGGTGGTCAAACTGACCCATGATGGACGCCTCACTCAGAAAGTCCCGCCGCTGTCTCTCGGTGTAGCCGGCTTTGAGGGCCTTGATGGCCACGGGCACGTCCCGCTGCCCCGGCACCTGCAGCCGCCCACAGCAGACTTCCCCGGACTCTCCTGTGGGCCCCGAGTGGGGCAGGCAAGGGACGGCTGTGGGACCCTCCGCTCTGCACCTGGACCCCGGCACTCCCCCCTTCCCCAGCGTGTGCTCCGTGATCCCCCCTCGCCCTGCCCTGGGCACCCCTCCCCCAGGCACCCCTCTGTGCTGTCCCCACCTTCACAACCCCCAAGGCTCACCAGAGCCGATAATCTTCTCGATGTGGATCCTGGAGGCTTCAATCTCTCGGGTGAAACTGCGGCCCGCCCGGCCTGGCTCCTCATAATTGTGGGGTTCTGCATAGAACGGGGGCTGTGGGATCTTCCCCGGGGGGTGGTGCAGGGGCAGGAAGACAGGTGGGGGTGCTGAGGGGCCAGGAGAGAGGGCCATCAGTGGGACGCAGGAGACTGTCTCTCGCAGCATTCCGTGGGCCTGGGATAGGTCTGGGGTGGGGCGTGGAGGGTAAGGAGCGTCCCCAGGAAGCTCAGGTTGTGGGGGCAAACAGCAGGTGTCCAATACGTGCTTACCAAGTGAAAAGGGGCTCTCTATGGAGGAGCTATGGGCTTTCTAGGGGACTTTGGGGTCTCCAGTGAGTTCTGAGCATATCTGTTGTTTTGGGGGGGTCACTTCTAGAGTCTTTAAGGTCTTTTTAAATTGCTCTGGGGTAGAAATGTAGCAAAAACGTTTTCATCACAAACGCCAAATTTGATTGAAAGGAGTTCTTTAGAAAATTGCGTTAAGAAGGATTCTGAAGCTGCACGAAGCTCACTGAGAATCAGTCCCAAAATTTATACTAATGTCTACCACGGGCACAGACATGAAGCACAGAGGTAGGCTCTCTCCTATTTGCCTCGTTTTCTGGGGTCTCTGCAGGGTCCTGGGAAAGCTCTCTGTAGCATGGGTTCTTATCCAAGAGAATATGACACGCCGCCTCCCAAACTGTAGGCAAAACTGTGTTTGAGTGCACAAATGTGTGCATTTCCGGGGCAGAGGATTTCTAGCATCCTTGCGGGAGTCTGCCAACCCAGTAAGGGTGAACAGCACTCTGCCTCTGAGGTCTCGGGGTTCTGACATCCTGCTATCTCTGGGGCTCTCGTCTTTTCCGTGGGCACCCTGCTCCTCCCCACCTGTCCCCTCCCCAGACCAGCACCGGCTCCCACCATGACCTCCTCTCTGCCCCATGTGCCTGGGCCCCTGCACTCACCCTGCCCATTCTGATACTGCATCTTCTCCTCGTCCGAGTCCTGGAAGGCCTTGCTGTAGCCGCAGTGCCTGTGGAGGGCAGCCCTAGCCTCAGCCCTGACCCCATTCGGGGACAGATCAGAACCCCTCCCTCCTAGGGGAGTCCCCGCCCTCAGGCTCTCAACCCGGCTGGAGGGTGACATCTCCGACAATTGCAGTTTACGAAGTCAAGTGCGCTTGGCCCGCACAGCAGTCTACACACCATAAGCCCCATTTTACATGAAACCACCCTTGGGGGGTGGGGACAGGAGGCTTCTGGTATTTATAATACTGTGTGACCTTGGCCAGCCCCCTCTCTTCCCTGGGCCCGTGTCTCCATGTACAGGACGATGTTTCCAGGCCTCGCTGACTGGACTCCTAAGCCCCCACGAGGCACAGTGTCCTGTCTCCACCTCTCTCAGGGATGGAGTGGGGGAGGGCACGATGACTTTAGTTTTTACAGACCTGGGTTTCTGTCCCAGTTCTGACATCTACTTGGCAGAAGAAGCCTAACCTCTCTGATCCCCAACTAGCTCACCTGCAAAGTGACACCAGAATGTCCGCATCACAGGATTAAATGAGGTGGAGGAGGTCACCTGGAGGGAGTCCCCGTGGGCCTGGCAGGTGAGTGGATGTGGTATGGCACCAGGGAGGGAGAGTCTGGATGACAACGGGCTTTGGGGCTTGAGCGACCCCACGAACAGTGGTGCCATGTCCTGGGGGGAGGCTGTGGGAGGTGCAGGTCTGGGGGTGCCAGGAGCGGGTTCTCAGGGGAGAGGTCTGTGCTGGTGACAAAATGTCAGCATGACAGTGGGGTTCCTAGCCATGGGCCCTGGTAAGGTCACTCAGAAAAGTTGGCCCCGGCTGAATAGGGAAGAGAGGAGGGTCCGCGACAAGCGTGGGGTCCTCCAGCCTTCCGAGGCTGTTTCGAGAAGAGGGGGGATGGAGAAGGGCAGGGCATGGGGGCAAGACGAAAGTGTTCCACGAGGGAGGAAAGAAGAACAGGTATACCCGGAAGTGAACCCAGACCTAGGTGCAAGGGGACCACTGTCTTGGTGGGGCTTGGGACAGGCTGGAGACACAGGGCTCCAGAGGAGGGCCTTCGGGTGGCAGGGACCAGGACCACCCACCTCTTTTTGCAGATCAGCAGGAGCAGAAGCACGACCAGGCCCGTGATGAGCGTCAGGCAGATCCAGACAATGGTCCGGGTGTCGTAGCGGGGCCCTAGTGGGGGGAGAGCAGAGTAGGGGAACCGGCCTCTCAGGCCCAGGGATCTGGTGGCTCTCCCGGGTGGGCCCGGTGGGCAGCATCCTCAGCTGTGAGTCAGCCCTGGGTCAGGGTCACAGGCCGCCTCCTCCTCTGCCCCCACCTTCCCCTCTACTAAGCTGCCCCTTCAAGACCCTGCTGCCACCGGCTTCCCGGCTTCCCACCCCGGTGTCAGCACTTCCCGGGACTGTGTGAGCCCCAGAGAAGCTCTAGACTTCTCTGAGCCTGTGTTTTCCACCTGTAATGTGCCTGTCCTGCCTATTATTCAAACAGTAACAAAGCCAAATGTGCTGAGAGGTGCACGTTCCAGTCCCAATTACAAGAGATCCTAGTATTATCTTCAGTTTTTAGACAAGAACACTGAGGTTCAGAGACTTGGGGAACTTACTCAAGACCACACAGTAAATGGGATGGAGCCAGGCAGGATTCCGAGCGGGGCAGTCTCAACAAGGTGTCAGACCTCAGAGCACCTGAGACACACCATCAACTCGGCCTTGAACCTTTCAATCCTAGCACCACACCCTGGAGGGTACCCCAGTATAGAGAGCATAGAGAAGACTCCAAGAAGCCGGAGATGGGGGCAGGGCATTCCCAAGCTTGAATGTGCCTCAGAATCACCCTGAGGCCTTGATAAAACCTGAATTATTGGGCCCCCACCCCAGGGTTTCTGATTCAGAAGGTCTGGGGTAGGGCCTGAGAATCAGCATTTCCAAAACCTCCCAGGTGCTGCTGCTGGTCCCAGCCCGTGCTGTGAGAACCACTGTTCTGGAGCCTGGGGGCAGGAGGAGACTGGGGAAGGGGCACGGAATTTGTCCCCAGACTGACCAGGTTCAAATCCTGCTCTGCTGAGTGACCTCGGCCAATTCACTCTACTGCTCTGGTCCTCATTTTCCTCATCTGTGAAATGGGGATGTGGATAATGGCAACTCACTGGAGGGTCTCTAGGACAAGCATAAGTGATCTTGTTGGCAAAGGGCACCATGATGCCGGCCAGACTCACTGATAACTCAGTGACAGCCAGTGTTTGGTGGGCCGTCCCTGGCTCCGTCACCTTGGGCAAGTTACCTCCCTTCTCTGGGCCTCTGTGTTTCACCTGTAAAAATGCCACTCCAACACAAGCACCAGCTTGGCCACCAGGGCCCCCGGCACCTGGCCTGGCCCAGCTCCCTCGCCCTCCCCGCTCCCCGCACTCACGGGGTTTCCCGGTCTCCACCTCCATGGCCTGGCTGAAGCGGCCGCAGCCGGCGGACGTGCGGGCTCGGACCTGGAACATGTAGCGGGTGCCCGGCTTGAGGCCCGAGACGGTGGCCCTGGTGGTGACAGCCTTGAGGGTGGAGTAGCTCTGCATCTCCTTGTCCTGCCCAGGAGAGGGGTAGTCAGCCCAGGGTCCTCCCGCCTGCTTCCCCTCCCCCTTCTGCCCTTCCCCACTGGTACCTTCTCGTAGTACTTGATCTCGTACTCCAGGATGATGCCATTGGGCTGCTCTGGTTCCTGCCACAGCAGGGAGACGCTGGTCTGCCCAGCCCGCTCCTGGCGGATCACCACCACCTGGGACGGGGCTAGGGGACGGAGGCCAGCCGCCGTCAGATGGGTGCATCAGGGATAACAGAGACTGGTCTCTGTCCTAGGGATGCTGGCTTGGACCGTGCTCACCTTGCCAACTGTCCTGCCCGCCCCCCCTCCCCCGTCCAGGGGAGCCAGCACCCTCCAATCCTCCTAGCAAATCATCGGCGGCCGCTCTGGTTGCCCCCCCGGGGGCGGCACAGCCTGGCTCTGCTCTAGGATGCTGGGGCTACCTTGACCCAGACGATGCCCGACTCCCCCAACTTTCACTGCCTCCTCCTTCTCGCTGGCCAGGCCCATCCCCTGGAAGAATGCTGGACCCCCCCCCCAGCCCCCGTCAAGCAGACACTCTCGCCACCCTGGGGCCCCATCACCGGATGTCTCTATCACCAAGGGCCTGGGGTGGGGCAGGCTCTCAGGAGTACCTGAGGAAGAGGAAGGAGAGAGGAAGAAGGAAGGACCCCGTGTCCTCACTGCCTGGGTTTGGAGGGTAGACGGCAGCAGCTCTGATACTCGGGGAAAGGCCGTGAGCTGGGCACACCTGAGCCCCAGGATTCCTGTGTCACACCAGGTCACCCGTTCACCCCCTCACACAGTGACTGAGTCACCCCTTCCCTCCTTCCCTCCTGCGTTCACTGCCCCTACTCCCAAGGTGAGTCTGCTGGAAAGTGCCAGATACAGCTGGGTGCAGCCAGGCTGACTCTCTGCCCAACACCTCCCCTGTCCCCCTATCTGGGCATCCTGTCCCCCCCTGCACCCCCCACCCACCTGGAGCTCCCTGAAGGCAGGGGTTACACAGGGTAGGTGCCTACCAAATGTTGCTGGGTGACTTTGATGTGAAAAAGAAAGAAGTAACTCCAGAGTTAAGTTGGAGTATGTGGTACCGGGCCCCTATCAGCCTGGGCATCGGGCCTGGGTCACAACCCGGCCTCCTCTGGCCGGCTGGCTGGGACCGTTACTGTCTGGGGTGGCAGTTTCCCCATCCAGAAAGGGAAGCCAGCAGCACCACCTGCCCGTAGGTGAGGATCTGATACTGCCAGCAGTATGTGGGTGCCCCTTAAAAAACAAAGAACTTTCAAGGCAAGAGGTGCCCTGTGAGGGGACCGGAGCACAGAGGTGGGAGGGAAACAGGGTGGGGGCACCAGAGCTGCTCCAAGGAGGAGATGGCTGTAGAGAAGGGGGACAGAGAGGAGGAGAGGGGAGGAAAAGGAGGAGGGGAGGGGGGGAGGGGAAGGAGAGGGGAGGCCCTGCAGTCCCTGAAGCCAGGCCTCACCCATTCGCTCAAGGCTGTTGTCTGCCCCAGGCCCCCCCAGAATTCCTGAATGCCTTCCGCATGCATTGTGGTCCACTAGGACCTGGGGATCCATAGTGAGCAAGGCAGCCCTCAAGGAGCTTATCATCTATAGAGAGACAGAAAGTAAATAAGAAAACGAATCGATACGTAATCACAGGAGGGACAGGAAAAAGGCACGGCGTGTGATGGAGCAGACCTTGTATGCATAGGAGGCTGGGGGAAACGGGGCCATTTTAGCTGGGGTGGTCAGGGTGGGCCTCCCCAGGGCAGGGATGACAGCAGAACCGAGGACTGAAGGAACCAGCCCCCCAACATCACAGAGAGGAGCCTGTCGCTCTGACGGAAAAGGCCAAGGCACGGAAGGGCTCCGTGTGGCCGCAAGAGAGGGACGGAGGGATGAGAGGCTGGTGTGGAGGCAGGGAGGGAGCCAGGCGAGAGTAGGTGGGTGAGGCTGGAGAGGTGGGCAGGGTGGGTGGCATGGGTGCGCCCTGGCCTGGCCCTGGGAGGGTCTCAGTGGGATCTGAGCTCAGGCTGAAGCTGGTAGAGGGCTCACGTGTGATCAGACCTCACTTACACTTTTAAAGCTCATTCAGGATGTGATGTGAGACGGCATCACGGGGCGAGGGGGAGCGGGCTCCTGGGGTTGTCCAGACAACACAGGATGGGGGTGGGGATGTACTGTGGACTGGACTGTGTCCCCTCCCCAAATTCATACATTGAAGCCCTAACCCCCAACTTGATAGTATTTGTCGTCATGGCCTTAGGGGGATGATTAGGTGTAGATGGGGTCATGCAGGCGAGGTCCTCCCTGTGGGATTAGTGCCTTTGTTAGAAGAGACACCAGACTTCTCTCTTTCTCTGCCTTGTGAGGACACAGCCAGAAGGCAGGAAGAGGGTTCTCACTAGAAACCAAATTGGCCAGCACCTTGATCTTGGACCTCCAGCCTCAAGAACTGTGATCAATACATTTCTGTGGTTTAAGCCCCCAACCTATGGTATTTTGTTAGGGCAGCCTGAGCTCAGAGAGATGGATCAGAAGGAGGCTGAAGCGGAGATGGTCACCTGGAGGGAGGCCCAGTGGGCCTGGCAGGTGGGTGGACGTGGTACGGAGACAGGGAGGGAGAGTCCGGATGACAATGCGCTTTGGGGCTTGAGCGACCCCACGAACAGTGGTGCCATGTCCTGGGGCGGGGCCTGTGGGAGGTGCAGGTCTGGGGGTGCCGGGGGCTGGTCCTCAGGGGAGAGGTCTGTGCTGGTGACAAAATGTCAGCATGACAGTGGGGTTCCTAGCCATGGGCCCTGGTAAGGTCACTCAGAAAAGCTGGCCCCGGCTGAATAGGGAAGAGAGGAGGGTCCGGGACAAGCGTGGGGTCCTCCAGCCTTCCGAGGCTGTTTCGAGAAGAGGGGCTGGCAGGGATGGAGAAGGGCAGGGCATGGGGGCAAGACAAAAGTGTTCCGCGAGGGAGGAAAGACCAGGGAGAGAAGTCCCCACTGCATGTGGCCAGGTGGGGACACTGAGCTTCAGTGGACAGCTGGGGAAATGCGCCTGACTGGAGCTGCCTGAAGAGGCTCACAGAAAGAGGACGCAGAGAAGGCCACACAGACAGCTCTTTCAGGAAGGTTCCCTGGGAAGAGAACGGGTCTGGTGGCTAGAAGGGAGCGTGCCTTCAAGGGAGGGTTTTTCTCTCCGTGATGAAGCATACTGATGCTGTCAGAAATGGTGGTGGGCTCTGGGGCTCCCCCTTCCCCCCCCAGCCAGCCACCCGCCCCCGTCTCCCTGGAGACCAGTGGCAAGGGCAGGGCCATAAGCACCAGACACACAGGCCTATTCCCACCGTGTCACCAGCCCCAGGGACAAGGCTGGGCACTCTGTGGGTGCCCTACAAACGCTGGCCGGATGAGAGTCCCTCGAGTGGGTGAAGCCCTGGCATCAGAGAGGGGGTGCCCTGGGCTCACAGTCGGGAGTCCCCTTTCACTTGGGGGCAAGACAGACTTGGGTTCGAATCCCAACTCTGCTACTTCCTACGTGGTGACACAGAGCCTTGGTCTCCCCCTCGGTGACACGGTGAGGTTTCTGTTGGGCCAGGGACGGGGCGAGGGCCACAGCAGTCCTAGACGTGTGCTGGGGTGGCTGTTGATGGCGAAGCTGCCGTGGGCTGGTGGGCTCTTGGGTCGGGCCGTCACTTGACAGGCAGGACCCGCCAGAATTGGGAAAGAGAGGGGCTCCAGGGGCTGAACTCAGCCCAACAACTGGCTAGGAACCCAGAGATCAATGGCTGCTGTCCAAACCAATGCAACTAAATCCATCCCAGGGGCAGCGGTGGCAGGTGTTCTGGAAAATGATAATCGGAGTGATTTTATCTTTTAATGACATTTATGGAGCAGGGACCTTGGGCCAGGTGCCAGGCTAAGCATGTTCATTTCTCCCACTTAAGCTTCATCCTGGTACCCAAGGAAGGTACTGTTATTGCCAAAGCACCAGGGAAGAAACAGAGGCGGAGAGAAAGTTCTGGAACCTACGAATGCCGGGCCAGCCTGTCTCTGACCTGGCTGGCTTCCTCCCACCTACAGGGTGTGTTCTACTCTTCTAAGGGCGTGGAGAGCCTGGAGCTCCGAGTCCTGGGGAGGAAGGCAGGGCCAGGGGAGACAGGCCCTCGCCCGGAAGGCCACAGGGAGCCCGTGATCGCACTCGATCCCGCCGGGGCCAGGAGCCGGGGCAGCTGCGGGACAGAGCCTCTCCGCCTACCTGCCTGGTTCGTGGTGATGTTGACGACAGCCGCCCGGCGGGGCTCGGGGCTCAGGTCGGACACACCGTTGACGGCCTCGATCCAGAAGGAGTAGTTCATGTGGGCCAGCAGGTTGGCCACCATCAGACTGGCCCGCACCAGGCTTGTCTGCCGCGGCACGAAGCGGGGGCCGCCCCCGCAGGTCTCGCAGTGGCCCAGCGCCCAAGGGCAGCGGTGGCACACTGCGTTGTACGTGATGTCGTTGCGGCCGCCCGGATCCAGGGGAGGGGCCCATTCCAGGGTCACGGATGTGCCGTTCACACTGGAGATCAGATTCACCGGTGCTGAGGGTGGCCCTGGGGAGCAGAGAGTGACTGGTGGCAGCGGAGGGCATTTATCTGGGCTGGTTCAGCCCCAACCCCCCATCGGGCCAGGGGAGGGCTGGGACTCCCCCGTGATATTTTCGGGGGGGTCCTCAAGGGTAAGGTCATGGCCTTCTCCAGCCTCTGAGAGCTCCCTAACGGCAGAGGTAGCATCAGACTGGACCACAGGGTCAGGTCTGTGTCCAGAAAGCTAAGCCCTTGCCCCTCACCATCCCACTGCCAGACCACAGGGATCCCGGGTTTGTGTTTCCCAGTTTCCATCCAGAGCAGGGTGAGAGGCTGGCAACCCTGGGGGGTGCCCACAGCAGCTACCCTGGGTGTGAAAGGCCCCTGCCATTTGCGATCCACACTGCACTCCTTAACCCCTGTACTGGGTTTACTGGGCACATCACTGAGTACTGCTGTGGAGAGCAGTGGAGGCGCCGGGCAGCCCGGCGGGGTCTCCGCAGCAGGGTGAGCCCACCCCCACGGAGCCCCAGTCTGGGCAGTGCAGAGATTCTGGAGAGCTGGGGCTGGGGGCTGGGGTAGGCTCTTGGGGGTGGGGATTTGAGTCTGGAGGACATGGGAGGCTGTGGGGAGCCCTGGGATTTAGAATTTCAGTTCTCAGCATCCCAGGCAGGGACTCTTAGATCTTATGAAAATAGAAGGGAAGAATCTCAGAATCCTAGAGAATCATAGAATCTGAAGAATATGGAATACTAAAAGCCTAGTCTTCTGCAGTCTTAAGATTTCCAGAACCTGAGGGCACCGAATTGTGGATTTGGAGGAAAACTGGAGTCTGGCTCGCTGAGTACAAGTGTCCATGACCTAGAGCGGGGCTCACGTTGCCTGCGAAGCCCACAGTAGTCACCATGTCACTCAGCCACCCTTTCTGCCCTGGCAGGTCCCACATGGGGTAAATGCATGGGTCTGGACAGAAGAGGGGAGGGAGGGAGGGAGACAGAGTGTGTGTGTGTGTGTGTGTTTGTGTGCGCACGCGTGCACCCACACTCTCACCTGCCATGTACAGGGAGCCTGGGGGCTCGGCGTGATGGAGGTGGGGGGAGAGGGAGGTTGGGGACTGAGGCTGGGATGGACCGGGGGGCGGAACAGGTCAGAACCGTGAGAAGCGCCCGTCACCCCACCCCAAGAGACCGGGGTTGGCAGATGGGGTGGGCTGAGCTGGGATGGGAGTGTGAGAGGCCCCTTCAGGCCGTGTGAGCAGGACGCCGAGATGGTCGCGCAGCCCGGCAGGCACGTGCCAGAGCCCCTCGGAGTCCCCTCAGGTACACAGGGGGCGAGCACACGGGAGCACACTTCTCCAGGCCCACACGCCTCCCCTGCAGGGCCAGCTGTCCACACGCAGAACCCACAAGGCACATTCAATCAAGCTCTCCGGGGAGGTGCACACACCCCCCTAACAATCCTTTACACCCACACGGGCACAAGACTCCGATGTTCACACTCGAGCCTACGCACGCTACACAGGCATCTTCTATGGGAGCAGCTGCCGACACAGACGCACGTGTCATCCTCGCTGCAGGTGTCCCAGGGCACACACACAGTCCGACACACGCACGCCCTCATCCAAGCAGGCAGCCACGCATATTCCTGATACACACCCATGCACGCACAGCCCCCCACACACTAAGGCAGCTCTGAACGGTCCATCGGGGATGACAGCGATCGGGGGGCTCCTCTGGCTTGCCCACCCCAGCTCCCGGGACATCAGTATCACTGCCGGGCCAGGAGACGACCAAAGGCTCCTCTCATCTGCCCTCTGAAGCAGAGAGGAAAGACAAAGGGAAGGAAGGAAAGATGTCCCTGGAGAGGTGACAGGTGATATAGGACAGGAGGTAGGGACCCCCTCCCAGAGAGGTCAAGGCCACCCCTGAGGAGTCAGAGCTAGAGTCATCCCCCCAACCCTATGTAGGCCCCTGGTCCAAGACAGCCACCCGTCCCTGCCTCACTCCCAGAGCACTGGCTCCCTGGAGTCCTGGGAGCACGGGGTCCTGGCCCGGTCTTGGTCTCCAGGATTTTGGGGCTCAGGGCGGTACTCACGGGTGCAGGCTGCAGATGGTGGGTCCAGGGCTGCGCGGTAGTAGCTGAGGTCACAGCGGCAGGTCTGGGCAGCGGGGGCTGCAGAGTGGCTGTGGGGAGGGCAGCGGGCGCAGAGCTGGTCCCCAGGGGCCGACTTGTAGAAGCCCAGCTCACAGGCTGCGGGGGACAAGGCGGCTTCAGAGGAGTCAGCCGGGCCGCCCTGGCCAGCCCCGGGACAGCTCTCACTCTGACCCAGGACTTCCAGAGGGATCTCCCAAGGGACATGGGTGCAGACCCTGAGCATCACCCGGTCCCACCCTCATTGGCAGATGGAGGGACTGAAGCACAGAGAGGGCCTGTGACTTACACAGGGTTGCACAGCTAGTGGGGGACAGAGCTGAGGCGAGTCCCAGCCCCGAAGTCGGCCCAGGAAAGAGCCTCTTCAAACCAGAGTCACGTCTCCTCCAGGGGCCCTTCCTGCCCAGGCCCGTCTCCAGCCTCAATCTGTCCATCACAGGACCCCGGTCCCTGAGTGAGACACTGCCTCGGATGTGGGGGTCAAGAGGCTAAGCACCCAAGGGTTGTGACTTGGGGAGAAACGAAAGCTGGAAGGGAATGGGGTAGGTGGCAATGTGACCGGATAAGAGACCCAGGTGATAAGACCCCCATCAAAGTACAGATTCCAGGCCCCACCACAGCCACCTGGTTAGAAGAGCCAGGCGTGGGGCCTGGGACTCTCTTTTCCAAGCTCCCAAAGCAATGACTACCCGGAATCTCAGGTTCCCGACCCTCCCAGAGCCTGCGTCACTGTTACCGTGACAGGGACACACCTGTCCTGTATGTGACCCTCTCCCCAGCCTCCGCCACACCTGCATCATCTCTCACCTGGATGCCCCGGCCTCCAGCCTTGCCTCCCCAGCCCCGCCTGCCAGCCTGACTGCCGTTCATTCAAAGCAGCATTCATGAGCGCCCACTCTGTGCCAGGCACTGATCCGGGTGCCAGAGACACAGCCGTGAACGAGATCGACATGGTCTCTGCCCTCGGGGACTCAGCCTCTTTGAGGGAGAGACATACAGTAAATGAGGCTGTGATCATTTCCAGGAAGGAAATAAAGTGGGTGATGTGGCAAACGGTGAGTGCTGGGAGGAGCTACCTTCCTGGAGAAGGAAATGATATTTGAGTCTTGTCTAAAGAATAAGAACAAGTCAGCCTTGCAGGGAGTGGAGACTTTCTAGGTTGAGGAACTCCCTAAAATGACTGCCAGTTCAAACCCTCACGGGCCCCCCAGGGCCTGAACAGCAATGCCCGGCATTCGAAGCCCTCCTGCAGCCTCCTCCAGGGTCACCGCTCCCTCCCCAACTGCAGGCCGAACTAAAGGACTGGCCATTCCCCACATCCAGCAGTTTGCTTCCTGCCTCAGGGCCTTTGCATGTACTGTGCCTTCTTCCTGGGATGGCTTATCCCTTTGGTCAACCTGTTGAACTCTTCCAAGATTCATTTTAATTGTCCCTTTGAACAAAGCCTTTCTCTACATCTACACACACACACACACACACACGCACGGAGGTACAGAGAGGCCACCGCTCCCTGCCCTAATTCTGCAGCCCCTGCTCAGGACCACCACCTATCACACTATAGCTATACTGTTTTATCTGTATGTCTGACTCACCTCCTAAACCAGAGGTGTTTGTGGGCAGCTCCTTGTGAATAAGGGCAGAGCTGCCTTATTCATCTCAACGTTCCTAGTGTCTGGCTCAGAGCGGAAGCTGTCAGCACTTGTAGGAGTTTTCAAGGTGAGCTAATCCTCCCATTATCTGCTCTGGACAGAGTGCGAGCCCGGGAGTTCAGGAGGACCGAATGCCACCCAGCCGGGCGGCTCCCGGCTGCACCATGGACCTGACTTCCTTTGCAACAGGGACCACCGGGCAGTTTATGGGATTTCTATCCATTAAGTCCCATTCTGGAAAACTTGGTGCTTGAGAGAAGCTTCGCTTGAAAAGATGTCATGTCGTTTAAAAAAAAGAATCTCTTTATTATAATAGCTAAAATCAAGTTGATTTGTAAAATTCTCCCAGCTCGAGAGAAAACCTGGAACCAGGAGGAATGACTCTGCCCTCACATTTGCTTCACAGACTCAGAGGCCGCAGAGCCGACGGGGCCTACAGGCTAGAGAGCTGAAGGAAATGTACCTCCGCTTTGAGACTTCTTCCCTCCCACCTGGAGAGACCCCAAGACATCTCGGGCCTGACAGGGGGCTGGGAGCTCGGGGTTGTAGGGCTCCAACCTGACGCACTATGATCTCACTTCCTCCTCCCAGAAGCCCCCCCCAGGAGGCAGAGTCCTGGGGCAAGCGGAAGAGCCTTCCTCGGGGCCTAGGAAATCGGGCTTTGCACTTCATCAGCAAATATTTGTTCAACCCGTTGTTGAGCTGAATGACAGTAATCCTCACTGTCATGATCAGATCCAGGTCGATTAGCATTTCGGGGACCGTTTGCTCATTCTGCCCTGCATTTATTCCTTACCCCAAATTTATTGAGCTGCTACTATGGAGCCGAGATAAGCAAGAGCTGGTCCTGCTTTCAAGGAGCTGTCTGGGCCGTGACAGGCACACAGAAAACATGTGGTGACACCTTGGTGTGATCTGTGGCATGAAGGAAGTGTGGCGAGATGGCCCACAGTTCCTGAGTCCCTACCGACCACAGAGTTCATCTTGTTCTCGTCAGTTAAGAGCAGAAACTCGGGAGCAGGCTGCCTGGGTTCCTCTTCTGGTCTGACCCCTTCACCTAGGCTATGGGACTTTGGGCAGGTTGCTGGGCCTCAGTTTCTTCATCTGTAAAATGGGGATAATAATAGGACCCACCTCCTAGGGCTGTTGCCAGGGTGCCCTGAGTGAGCACATGTGAATTCACGCCAGGACCGTGCCTGGCACTTAGTCACAATGCTGTGTGGTGGCGATAATACATCTCTTTTGGAGTACCTTGCCCAAGGCTCCCCATTGGGCCAGAAGGCAAACCCAGGTGGGGAGCCTCTGGGGCCCGGGCCTTTCCCCCACCAGCCTCTCAACACGCGTCCAGGGCTTAGAGATGACCCGGCCTTCCTGCCGCTCGCCAGTGGGTGGTTCTCACACGCTCTGCAAATACCCATATGGCTATAACGTGTCAAAGCCAGATTAATCCGTGCAATGAAAATAAAATAATCTTTAATAAGAATACTAATCACCAGGCCTCGGGGAGCCCGGAGACCTGGAGACAGAGCCGGGAATTAATGGCTGAGACAGATGGAGCAGCTCTGGGCTGGGGCCCGGCCCTGCCCGCCGACCCAGGGCGCTTCCGGAGCCCGTGTGCCCGGCGAGTGGGCCGAGTGCCAGGCAGGGCCGCTGCTCCTGCCGAGGGCACCTTGCCCAGGCCGCCCGCCCGGCCGGCAGCTGCCTGTGGCCCTACCACCTCTCCCCACGCCCCCACCAGGAGCCTGAGACTTGACAAATAAGGTGTCTGCCGGTGGATGACCAAAGGAAATTAATTCTAAATCAGATTTTAAACACCGTCAGGAAGGCAAAAGAGCTCGGCGCTCATGTTCCCCCTCCGAAGCGAGACTCTCTGATATTTATAGAAAAATGATTAGGGCCTCCAAGGGTGGTTTGTATTCTGCATCCAGGTGATGGGAAGGACGGCAACCAGGGCTTCAGACTCGGGGCTGCAGCTCTGTTGGGTGATGTTCTGAGAGGTCTTTCCCCTGCCCAGACTGGGGGGATGGGGACTGTGGCCAGCTATGGGGACAGGTCACGGGGCCTGGCACTGTGTCGTGAGGGGGGTGCTGTGGTTGGGAGCTTTAGGATCCAATCGACCACTCCTATAGCAGTGTGCCCTTGGGCCAGTCACTTGAGCTCTCTGGGCCCCCACTTCCCCACTGGTAAACTGGACGGGCTCCCCATGGCTCTGACGTCCTTCTGCGGGTCTCTGAGGCCTGAGGGCAGCCTCGGTAAGGCCTCACAAAGCCCTGTGACTGGCTTGGTCCCTTCTGGGCTCCGCTGTCTTCTCTGTGAAATCAAGTGCTCCCTGGCCACGTATGTGCAGAGCTGTTGAGGGTGAAAGCAGGGGGAAGGGGACCTGCAGGCTGGGAGGGTGGCCGTCACCGTGTGGGCTGGTCCCTGCCGCAGGCCTCAGGCTCTGGATCCCCTCCTTTTGCTAGAAGGAAGGCGGTGAGATCAGGCTGGGCAAGCCGGGGCCCCGGAGCCCAGCCCTTCCTCCTCAACTGTTTGCTCAGAGACAACGGCCTGATGGAGAAGGCCAGGGGGACCCACGGTCCTCAGGGTGTCCCTCTCAGGTTGGTTGGCGGCAGAGGGGAGCTGCAGCTTTGAGAGGACAACTCACGTAGCCCAGAAAGGCACCCCACTCTGTTCCCGGCTCCTGCTTGGTCCTCAATCTCGCCATTCTCGGGCTACCCACCCAAGGAGGGATGGGGTCAGGGGCCCCCGGCAGGGCCGCCAGCCAGGGCCTCCCGTTGGTGGAGGGGCTCAGTGTCAGACCCGTGCTGCTTCTTCCAAGGAGGTTACACAGACAATCCCAGAATCCCACTCACAGGAGTGAGAAAAGTCTCTCCTCGTGCGACTTACCACTGGCATTCCGTCCCCAAACCTCTCTGCCTCCAGCGCATTAGGAATTAATATTTTTTATAAAACCTGTAATTATCCTGCAACTGGCATAATTATGTTGCATTGTGATTTCAATGTAAAATTCAAAATATGCTGCAATTTCCTAACCCTGCATTAACATTTCTTTATTATTTTTTATTAATACGCCAGCAGGGCCAGGCAATGGGAATGGCCTTGGCCTCTCCCAGCCCTGGGAAGGTCCCGCTGCTCGGGACTTGGGAGCTTTTACCAGGAGTCCTGTCCTTGACTTGCTGTGGGGCCTGGGGCAAGACACATTCCCTCTCTGGGCTCCACTTCCCACCCCGGTCAAACAAGGGGCTGGAGTAGGCCCCAAGACCTCTGACCCCACCATCAGGAGGACCAGTCTCCCTCCCAAGGTAAGGGTGCCCCACTGCACGCTGGACAGACAAATGGCTCCCTTGCGCTGGCTGGCCAAACCCAGAGTTGCCGTCAGTGGCTGACCTTGAGCAGGGATCCACTGACCAGCTGGCCTGATTATTATGGCCTATGCTGTACTAGTTAGAACTGTTCTGCTGTTACCCCAGGGAAGGGGGAAGCGGGATTTGGCAGAGGGCTCTGTTGACAGAGGAAGCAGTTCAGGCCTCTGGAGGGAGCCAGCCTGGGATCAGAGCCCTACTCTGTGATTTAGGTTGAAGGACTCAGTTTGTCGCATCTGTAAGATGGGGATATGCCACCTAGCTTAGAGGACTTCTGTAAGCATGAGAAGGTGTGTGAACTTCCCGAGTGCAGGGACTCCCTGTGCCTAAATTCCAATGCCTGGGATACACCAGGTGCTCAATAGAATGAGTAACTGCCATGACAAGGAGAAAGTGCTTATTAATGTGCCTCGTACGTGGCAAACACTCGAAAATTGCTGCTGAGGGACTTTATCGTCCCCATCAGGAGGGGGTGCTGGAAGCCAGCTCTGGTGGGGAGAGCAGTCAGGCTGGGCCAGAGATAAGCTAAATGCCTACACGTGGCTCCCAGCAAGACAGACCCGACTCAGGTCCCAGCTCCACCTCTCACCAGCTGTGAGGCCTACGCAGTGATGCTACCTCTTGAGCCTCAGTTTCCCCATTGGTCAAATGGATCTGTAACACCTGCCTTGCTCCAGGGAGCAAATGAGTTGATGTGTGAGCCTCCCTTTGTGAGCTGCAAAGGCACTAGGGATGTTGGTTATCATCCAGCAGGGAGCTGAGAAGTGCAGGGATGACTGTGATGGGAACCAGAAGAGGCTGGAAGCCTGGGAGCCTGACAAATGAGGCCACAGGGGGCAGAACAAGTCCAGAAACAGGCGAACGTCACAGAAGGTGCTTTGGAAGTTAGGGTCCCCTAGAGGTGAAGGCTCGTAGCAGTTGGGAGTGTGAAGGATTTCTTACGGAAACCGGAGAGCCCCAGAGAGGGGCTGGAAGGGGCCTGGTGGCTGGATGGAGTATCCTGATCCCAGAGAACTACCCTGAGCACCACCCGAAATTCTCAGCCCGTGCCCTACTCTGCCCTGTGAGCACCAAGGGGTCTTTCCTGCCCGCTTGGGGCTGAGGGACGGGCCCCATCCCAGGTCCTCTCTGGGGCCAGGCCCCAGCCTCTCTGATCCCTGCCTAGGAACATCCTCCCCCACCCCAGGAGACCAGGGTTCCCAACAGCAGGCTTCACTAAGCTCTGAGTGCTGAGCAGCCACGTGTCCAGCCCCCCGGGGAAGCCATGGAAGGGCAGAGGGCAACCAGCTGAGGCACCAGCTGTCTGTCCAACCAACTCTCACAGTGTCCCCGGTGCTTGGGATACCCCTGCTACATCACACAGTCCAAGTGTGACACACACACTCAGCCTGGAGTCTGGGCCCTGCTCTTGGCCTCTGGCGCGGGAACCCGAGCAGCGCGCTCATGGGAACAGGTGACATGCTGTTCCATCCTCAACCTTCCTCTTCTCAAGGACCTTGGCTGTCCTCTCCCACAGGTCCCTGGGTAAGATCCCCCTAGACCCAGGCAGGCCGGTTCAGGTGGCCCAGGGACACACCTAGACAGGGCTCCCCGGGCATCCCTGCCTGCACACCTTCCCAGGGGCCCCATGCTGCCCTCCTGCACCCAGGGACTGTGGCCACTTCCCTCCACTCAAGTTCAGTGGTTTTGAGCATGGACTCCAGAGCCAGACCTCCGGGTTCAAATCACAGCCCTGCGGCTTCCTAGCTGGGTGCCCCTGGGCAAGTTGCTTTGCCTCTCTGTGCCTCAGTCTCATCTACAAAGCCAGGATAACAGTAGCTTCTATTTCATAGGGCAGCTCTGGGGACTCAATGAGTTAACACGTGAAAAGTGCCTACAACGATGCCTGAGCTAAGTTAGCTCACAGTATTGTCCCCTCACGCAGCTGGACGCCCAGTCCTGCAGGTGTCCTCAGAGGTACGTCTCCACAACACCCACAGAGCCTAGCACCTGGCTGTCATGTGTCTCCCTGTCTTCTCCCTCCCCTGCTCCGCACACGCACACGCCGCCTGGTGTATTTGCTGACACGGAAATGCTGGAGGGTCACCCCTCTTCCCAGATGCTGTTGCCCCCCAGCGCATGCTGCCCGCAATGCCCCCCCCACAGCCGGGCAGCCCCCTCCCGGACTGAGCCCCAGGCCCGCTGGCCGCCCCCGCACGGCCCGCTCACCCTCACAGGCATCCCGCCGCTCCTCGTAGCCGGCGCTGCACACGCACTTGCCGATGGGCACCAGCCACTCGCCCTCAGCGCTACAGTACATCTTGGGCGTGTCCCGCTCCTCGGAGTGCCGCACGCACTGGCCCCGCACCTCCACCAGCGAGGACGAGTCGGCACCCGTCACCGCCTCCGAGAAGGCAGCCAGGTTGCGCACCATAGTGGGGCACTTCTTGTAATAGATGCGGAGAGACAGGATGGCGAGGCACGCGCCAATGTCCTGGAAGGCCAGGTAGAAGCCGCGCTTGCTGAGGGGGCCCACGCCGCGCACCTCCGTGTTCAGCTTGAGGCGCCGCACGCCCAGGTCGGCACCCGTGAAGCTCTCGTCAGCTGCGATGGTGTCGATTTTGAGGAACTGGCTTTCTTGCGTGCTGGCGCCCAGGTCACGGTCCGACTCCAGGTAGTAGAGGTTGAAGGTCTCCTTACAGGTGCCCAGCACGCCGGGCATGCTGTTGCAGTCACGCAGGGTGAACTTGATCTCGGCGTAGACGCGCCGGGCGCCGTCGCGGGGCACCCAGCTCGTGCGGAGCCAGTTGTTCTGGTTGGGGCTCATGACGTTGCAGACCTGGTACGTGTGGATGGGCTGGAAGGACTCGTCCACCTCGTTGATGGAGTCCCACTGCGGGCAGAGAGAGCACAGCGCTGAAATGAGCGTGAGCACCTCGCCCCCTCCTGCCAGTCGTCCCTGCCACATGCGCACGGGGCCGGGGGCATCCCTGGGAGGAAGACGGAATGTTCTCTGCCCTTCAGTTGCTGACCTTCTACTGGACCACGACTATGAGATGTGATCCCACAGGTGCCCCATCCTTCCGAGAAAGTGTTATTTGCTGCAGTTTACTGATGTGGAAATAGGTGCGAGCCCCACGTCTGAAGTCACCCAGCTCGTGAGTGGTGGAGCCAGGACTGGAATTGATTCCAAAGCTACAAAACCCAACCTTGTGTCTATATGGCAGCTCCAAACACTCCCAGGGTGGGACGTTGCCGGGGGGTCAGCTTTGCTTGGGTAAGTCAGGGAGCCCACGGGTCCAGTTTCCGTATTAGTTGCCAGAGGGATCCTTCTAATGCATGGACCTGACTATGCCTCAAATCCTTCAGCAAGGGAGTACCAGTGGGACACCTGAATGTGGTGGCTTCTGTGCCAGGTCCTGGCCAGGTATCAGTGATTCAGAAATAAATCAGACACGATCAACAGAGTGAAAGGCAACCCACAGAACGGGGAGAACATACCTGCAAATCATGTGTCTGATAAGGGATTAATATCCAGAATATATAAAGAACTCCTACAACTCAACAACAAAAAACCTGAACAGCCCAGTTGGAAAATCAGCAAAAGACTTGAATAGACATTTTCCCAAAGAAGATATACAGATGGTTAAATAGTCCACAGAAAGATGCTCACCGTCACTCATCATTAGGGAAATACAAATCAAAACCACAACGAGAGACCATTTCACACTCACGAGGATGACGATTATCTAAACAACAGGAAATAACAAATGTTGGGGAAGATGTGGAGAAACTGGAATGCTTGTGCCTTGTTGGTGGGAGTGTAAAATGGTGCAGCTGCTGTGGAAACCAGAGTGGAGGTTCCTCAGAAAGTTAAAAATAGACCTATCCTGTGACCCAGCAATTCCACTTCTGGGTATATATGCAAAAGAACTGAAAGCAGGGTCTCAAACAGATACGCATACACTCAAGTTCACAGCAGCATTATTCACGGTAGCCAAAAGGTAGAAACAACCCAAATGTGTCCATCGTTGGATGACTGGATAAACAAAACATGGTGTATCCAAACAATGGGACAGTATTCAGCCTTAAAAGGGAAAAAAATTCACACCCAGCCACACGGGTGAACCTTGAGGACGTTACGCAAAGTGAAATAAGCCAGTTGTGAAAGAACAAATATTGTATGATTCCGCTTAAATCAGGTCTTTAGACCCATAGAAACTGAGAACGGAATGGTGGTGGCCAGGGGCTGGGGGACTGGGGAATGGTGAGCTGGTATTTCATGGGGACAGAGCTTCAGTTTGGGAAGATGAAAAGAGTTCTGGAGATGGACAGCGGTGACGGTCACACAACACGGTGAATATACTTAATGTCACTGAACTAAACACTTAAAAAGCGGTTACGATGATAAATGTTATATGCATTTTACCACAACCTTTTTAAAAAGAAAGGAAGGAACACTCTAGAAATACTCCCTCCCCTTGAGTGCCTCACAGTCCAACAGACAAGGTGGTGGAGGGCTCCATGCCAAAGTGGGTGGGCATCTAAGGGGTGGTGGAAACTTCCTGCAGGCTAAAGCAGGAAGCTCTTGCAGGGATGGGAGGGAAGAGCCCCCGAGAGGCCAGGAAGAATAAGCAATGTTCAGCGAGCACCAGATAGCCCAGATCGGCCGCAGAGGATTCACGTGCAAGACCCAGTGCCGAGAAACGGGCCTGGAGTTAGAGGTCAAGACCTCTTGGTCTCTAACCTGCTGTGTGACCTTGAGCAAGTCGCTCTTCCTCTCTGGGCCCTAGCTTCCTCAACTGCAGAATGCTGGTTGGCCGGGAGCAGTCACAGTGGGCTGAGTCCCATGGACTCCCGAGAGCCCTGAGGAGGGACTGGAGGCTGAGAGCAGATGGAGGGGATGGGCTCTGGGTGCCTGCCTTGGGTTGGCCCGAGATGCAATGCCTTGCTCTTCTCTCTTGGGCCTCTATGCGCAACTGTCCTTGAACTAGAGATTCTATTGCTTAAGGGGGATGGGGGAGGTAAAAACCACTCCTCGTGATGTTCTGAGAATCTGGGGGGTTCTGAGTGACCCGCAAGTGCTGAAGTGGGGACCACGGTGGTCTCAAGTCTTTCCTATCTGACGAAAGCCCCTCCATCTCATCTCATCTTGGCCAGCATGTGGTCTCAACCCTCGGGGCCCACATCTGTAAAATGGGGCTCAGACAGGCCCACCTCAGCGAGGCTTGAGAGGATGAAAGGAGAAGTAGGCTGCCAAGCTCTTGGCTTGGGCCTGGCACAGTAGGGCACCAGTGGAATGGGACTGCCATGGTGCCGACCTGGCAGCATCTTCCCAGTCCACCTGTGCCTGCCTCCAGGGACCCCAGCACAAGAGGTCCAGGGTGTGCCAGCCTCACCTAAAACCTTATGCCTCTTACACCCCCTACCCCCACAGGACCCCCCTGGACCCCACGCTGCAGCCAGGGCCTCTGGGCAGTGCTGTGCCACATCTGGGGTTAAAGTCATTGTCACAGTTAATGGAGCACCAAAGAGCCAGCCAGCTGTCCCCTGTCTGTTTCCTGCCAGGGACCTGGATAAATTCATCAGCTCCCTCGGATCTGCTCCAGCCGCTCCACCAAGGCCAGGGGCCTGGCCTCGCCCTGCCAGCCCCAGGGGCTGCTGCACATGCCCAGAGTGGCACGAATTCCTGGAGGCTGGTGCAAGGATGGAATGAGCCCTGTTCTCCACCTGGGCAAACCTCCCCACCCCGCCCCCCCAAGCCCCGGTGCCCTCCTCCTCCAACCCCCGCCATTGCTCTGCAGCTCTGTCGTCCGTCTGGAACAGAATGCCCTGCCCCAGCTGTGCAGCCCTGGGCATCTCCCCTCCCCTCTCTGAAGTGTGAAATGGGCCGGCTGATGCCTGCCCCTTCCCCCTACTCCAGGGGGTGCTGAGGGTCAGGGGGGACAACAGAATGTGCCTCTCATCTAAGGCAGTGCTGGTTAGCGCCTGTTAATTCACCAGAAGCCACGAGCAGGTCCCAGCGTGTGGAGGGAGGCGCATGGCCTGATGAAGAGCCTGGGGCCTGGGGCCAGACGTCCCCCGACCTTAGCAGAGTTGCTTAACCTCTCAGAGCTTCAGGTTTCTCACCAGGAAAATGTCCCTTTCGTGCATCCTCATGGATGACAAGTGCACGGAGCAGGCTCTGTGCTCATTCCCGTGTTATAAACGGGGAGGTGGAGGCCAGGGAAGTGACTTGCCTGGGTCACACTGATCAGAGGCAGCAGAGTAAGGGCTCGTCCAGACCCAGCAGCACCCTTGGCCTTTAAGCTGTGCGGCCCTGGTTGACAATCCAATCACTCTGCTGATGCTGGACACAGCCCTGGATGGCCCTTGCTCCGAGGTTGTTTAAGATCTTTCAGAATCAGAGGAACCTCATGGAGCCTCAAGGACCACGTCCACAGGCTCCCTAGCCAGCTGGGCAGGAGAATCGCCTGGAAAGCTTATGAAACCAGATTCCCAGGCACCTCCCCATACCCCCGGGGACACGGGGCCCTGTATGCCTCACTTGCTAGCCTGGAACAGGTTCCAGGTCTAGAGTTTGGGAACCAGGGATCTCACCCAGCCTTCTTTCCCCTCCAGGCAAGCGCAATCTCCAGCCCCCATAAAGATGGAAGGTGGTCCCCGGCTCAGCAGACAACGCTGGAGGGCCTCCCACCCTCTCACGATGAGGACATAGACCAAAGAGAAGAATAGGGACTCAACACAGGCTCTAGGCCCGAGCAATTGCAGTTTGAGTCCATCCTTTGGAAACTGTCTGATGGTGGGCAAGCTATTCCTTGCTGCTCTGAGCCTCAGCTTCCTCATCTGTGAAATGGGGTGGCTGTGCCTACTCACAGGATTGGTCGTGGGGATTAAATGAGATCATGCCTGTGAACTGCTCAGAGCTGTGTGAATATACGCTATTTGTTCTAACAGGATAAGGTAACTCTGAGCCATGCTTCACGGCACCTTGGAAGCAAAAGAACCTTCGATTTGCAGCATAGTCAGTGAACACACAAGTCCAGCCATGCTCCCCACCTGCTTAAAACCCTTACAATTCCCTGTAAGGAACCCTAAAAACCAAGTCCTAAGCTCTGAGGAGGACCTGGGGCCAGGCCCGCTCCTTCCTAGCTGCTGGGTCTCGGGGGAAAAGCTGACCCAGCCATCGGCCAGGCGGTCCCCTCCTCAAGGGTCAACCCCCTGCCATTGGCAGAGCTGGCTCACTTTCTCAAGCCCTTTCACACCCTGCTCACCCCTGGGAGACAGCCACCTGGGGCACACACAGAGGAGAAAGTCACAGGGAGAAACTGAGGCCCAGGGAGGTAAAGACACCTCAAGGACCCAGCCTTTGCCCTTAGGCAGGGCTAATCCGCTCAGGCAGAAAGGAGTTCCCTCCTGGCTCTTGGGCCCATGTGGCCTGCTGTGAAGCTTCCTGAAGCCTAGTACATGGGGGCTAATGACAGCGGACTCGGCTTTCTGCTCCAGAGGGAGGGGCGGGGGGCTCCAGCCTGCCCCCAGCCAGCCACAAATGGCCCGGATGAAGAGTGAAGAAATACTCCCACTCCCTTCACACATAGTCACTCTTGATGTCATTGTCACCATCATTATTAATATTATTACCCTTGTCTCCAGAGCCGTGGAAACCAGTGTTCACGAGAGAAGTCACGTGTACGTGACACGCCTGCGTCTGTGGGGCGGGGGGGATGTGTGTGTGCATTTCTGAGCATGCCTGCAGGAAGAAAGGTCTGTGACACAGAACCCTAACACACACTAATGACAATGACAGTGACGGTACATTCAGTGAGGGCTCACCAGGTACCAGGCACAGCGCCAAGACCAGGTGTCACCTCCCCTCCGCCTGACAGCAAAGCCCACGAGGTCGTCACATGCTCAGCCCTTGCCACAGATGGGGAGCTGAGACTCAGGAAGTGAGGTGGCGACCACCAGGGCCACCCCGCTTGTCAGTGGCAAAATCGGGCCTCCGCCAGGCTCATGGATCCTCCCCCTGCCCCCAGGTCTGGGTAAGAGAAGCGGAGGGCCGGGCAGTGCAGCTTTGTCTCTGGATGTCCTGGGGCTACCATGGCCACTCCCCAGGAGGATGGGACCCATGGAGACCTGATGGGCTCAGCCCCGGGTCACCATGGAGGCCAGAGGGGCCTGGGGGCTCGGCTACACCTGCTGGCAGCTGCCGCCCAGATGACTCTAGGGAACAGAGTAACAGGGGCCCGGGCAGCTCCTGGTGAAGGCAGAGCATGAGGGAGGGGACCAATCCCGAAGGGGTGAAAGGCCCGGCTGGGGCCCAGCGTGAATCTGTAGGCCCAGAACACAGACATCAGGATCCCACACCTAGGGCCTTAGACTTAAGAATCGGGAGCCCAGCACCAGGCTTGGTTCTGTAATCCCAGGGGTCTGCATGAAGGAAGGAAGGTAGGAAGGTAGGAAGATAGGAAGAAAGGGACGGAGGGAGGGAGGAAGGGAGGGAAGGAATCAGCAATTCTGTTTCTAACTGCTGTGTGGCCTTGGGTAAGTCCCTTCACCTCTCTGGGCATCTGCTTCCTTTTGATCTATCTGATGGTAAGAGCATGAGTCACAGGCTTTCTCTGCTCACAGAGGATGATGCTGGCCCCACGGCTGGTCACCTACCCCGTGAGCCGGATATGTGAGCCAGCCCCAGTCTCCGTGGATGGTGGACGTGTCCAGCAAGTTCACTGTAAAACAGGAGAGGAGAGAGCATCAGAGCCTAGGACACTCCTCCCCAGTCCCACAGCGCAGCCCAACCTGGCCACACTGGTCTGCTCTCAGCCCCGAACACGCCAGCTCCACGCCTCACTTCCCCTCTCCTTTGGGCCCCGGTTCAAGTTGTCCCTCTTGCTTGAGGCCAGCCTCCACCACCTCAGCCCAAATATGACCGTCCAAACCCCTGGAACACAAGCTGCCCCAAGCGCGGGGCTTCCCTGGTTGGTGATGCCGTGGGATGGCTAAGAGATGGCCTCAGGAGTCCAGGAGGCCCCGGGCCACATTCCCAGCCCTGCCACGTAGGGGCTGTGTGTCCCTGAACAAGTCCCTGCCCCTCCCTGAGGCTCAGTTTCCTCCTGTGAAAAATGGGCGTGACCATGGGTCCTGTTTGGCACACAGCCTCATCCTCGTCTCATTCATGGGACATGATGACTTTCAAAAGCACCCAGCAAGGTTTGCACCATGAGGTCATACCTCCTGCCGGAGGACCGGTCCCAGCTGTGCAATCACCAGTGTCCCACAGGAAATGCCTGGCACCTACCAGGTCCTCTGAGCACATCTGAGGTGGGGGGACCTGGAGCAGTAAGAACCGCCTCCCGGCCCCCACCGTGTGCTGAGCTCTGCGAGGGGCGCTTTAGACGTCTCGCCCCTGACCTGCAGGATGACAGCCGCCGCGAGGTGGTGACTCTCGTCTCCATTGGGCCAATGAAGACCCTGGGCCTGGGGGACATTCGGGAACGTGCTCAGTGCCCCCCCCTCCCGGGGTAGCCGGCAGGCCTGGTGTTCAGAACACCCGGGGAGGCAACCACCGCCGGCGCCGTGAGCCCCGGCAGCCTGAGGCCAGGAAGCAGAACCTGTGAGCAAGTCACCGTGGCTGGGAAGGAGCGCTGGCCCGAAAGGCAAGTCTATTCCAGGCCAAACCCCCACAGGGGAGCCTGCGAAGTCGCAACAACACAATGGAGGAGACCTGCCTTTGCAGCCAGACACGGCTGGGCTCGGATCGCAGTGCGGCTACATAGTAGTTGACCTTGGCTTCTCTGATCCTGTTTCCTCATCTGTAAAATGGGGATAGCAACACCTAGAGAGCAAACGGTCAAGCCTGGAGTCGCTGCCTTATTAAAGCTAATTCCCTTTCCCAAAGTCCTGCCCCTCCTGCCTCTCTCCTTGTACTCAGACCTACCCACTCACTTTAAGGTGATGAAGGCGCACTCAACTGTTAAGAAATCGGGGTTTGAGTCTCGACTGCTGTGTGTCCTCCGGTGAGTCCCTTCACCTCTCTGGGCCCCTGCTCCCTTTGATCTATCTGGTGGTAGGAATATGAGAGGGCTCTTGGTTCCACGTTCCCAAGGCCTTCCCGTTTCACGCTCTCTTCCACCTACCCCCTCTGCCAGCCTGCAATCACGGGCTGCCACCTAGGCTGGCTGGGGCAGGTTCCAGAGGGTTAACGCTGCTGGGGCCCTCCTAGGACTTTTCTGCAGGGAGGCTGGGGGTCCTGCTGCCTGAAGTTTGCATAGCTCTGCGTCTGCCCCTCAAAGATGGAGACAAGTGTCTTCAGGAAACGTTGGAGTGAGGATGCTCTTATTTGCTGGTTTTCTCCCTCCTCTTACACTCCCACCCCATTGTCAGGGACCCCAGAGGGGAGGCCAGCTGCAGAGAGCTTGCAGAACCAGGGGAGGGGCCTCTGCCCTCCTCCCTGGGTCCCCAGGGGTCAGGTGGGATCAGGGGATGGAACCAGTGTCCACAGAAGGGCCTCCCCTCCCCAGCCGGCCCCACGCCAGGGGCGCAGGCAGAGAAGCCTTCCCGCCTCCCTCCCTCCCTCTCAGGCAATGGAGAGAAAACTGGGTCAGGCAAGCTCTCTCCTCCTGCTGGCTGGTGGGAGGGGGAGGGGGCCGCACTGCAGTTTCCCCCAGACCAGCAGAGCCTCGTCAGGGGAGAGGATGAGGACAGGGGACCGGTGGGCTCCCCCATTCCAACCCACATTGCAGATGTGGTCTCAGAGCTGGAGGGCCCGCTCTCCAGTCTCCTGAACACAGCTCAGTCCTGCCCCTAACCCAGGGGCAGTCAGCATAAATGTCCGCCACTTAGACTCCTCCCCGCGGGAGCACCGTGACTCGTGACTCGTAGGGCAGCCGCCTGCAGACCCCACTTTCCAGGCCCTTCCCACCCCTGGAAACCTCACCACATTTGCAGCTGATTCTTGATCAGCCAGCCAGGGGGCTCAGATAATCCAAAGATAAGTCAAAAGTCGATTCTATCAGATTCGGGAAGAGCTATAGGATTCTAGGGCTGCTTGTTCCAACTCCTTCCAGACGCTTCCCTGTCCCTGCCCTCCTCTCCTCTCCCTTTGTCCCCCTTCTTCCCTACCTCACATGCCCTCCCATGGGGGGCTGGGGAGGAGACCCAGAATGCCTGTCACAGGAAGCTCCGGGCCCACAGGAGATTGCTTCAGGGCCAGAGACAAGTCCAGCACGAGGCCCACTCCCCCTGCATCCCCTTGGAAATGCAAACCTTTCTGGTCACCCGGCCTGGGCTCTCTCCCCCTCTTGCACTGCTGGCCTGTAGGTCTGTGTGCCATCCGTGAGGTCAGTTCTCCTCTCTGGGCCCATCTCACCGTTTGCCAATGGGAGGACGGGACTCATGGTTTCTCAGGGCCTTCATGAAGCGAATCACTTAACCCCTCTGTGCTCAGTTTCCTCATCTGCAAGATGTCTGTAGGCATCCTTCTTGGGCCTACCCACCCGGGCTGTTCTGGGAGATCAAACGGGTCCCTCTCCTGCTCTGAGAAGCACAGATAATTCCTAAGCCTTTCCTGTTCCACTGTGGAAAGCATTATGCGATTTCTTTTTTTCTCCAGCACCGTCATCTTCCCCCATTCCATTTCGCTGAGACTAATACTTAAATTGATTTACATTCCCTGAGGACGCAGTGCATGATGGTGAGGCTAGAGAATTCCGGTGGCCAGGGGATGTCAGCCAGGATGTGAATGCCTCAGCGATCACCCCAAAGTGGTGCATAGTCCACACCAGAGAATGATAAGGGGCTATGAGCCTGGTGGGGCTTGGGGGGCATCTCTGCAGGTGTGGGGCCCTCTCCTGTCCTATGAGGGACCTGGTTCAGGGGCACATGACCAGGCTGGGGCACTACTCCTTTTCGGGAGCCTAGCTCGGAGCAGATACCCCTCTCTGAGCGTCCACAGTCTCCCTGGCCAATCCTGGCACTGCACCAGCCCAGGAATGATACTGGGAGGGACTCCTGTCCTTCGGGAGGGAGGGCCGGCCTTTGTGGAACCTCGGCCCCAGGCTCTCCAGCCTGCACGGTCCACCCCCGCCCCACTGTGGGTCCTCTGCTGCACTGGCTGGACAGGTGAGTACTGGCCCTTGGACTATGCCTCCCTCAGCCCTGGACAAAGACATCCCCGCTTGCCTCTTTTTGTGGACCTTGCCTCTTCCCCAGCTGCTGCGCCCTCCCCCCGGACATGTCCTCCTCTCCCTCTCAGGCCAATGGCCTGTCTTCTGCAGGTGAGCCTGCTCTAAGTCACCTCCCCAGGGGGATCTGGGGTGTGCCAGTCTGCCATTCTGGAAGGTGCTGCCTCCTTCCTAGAGGAGTTGAGAGTGTCTTGTCCAAAGCCCAGAGCCTCAATGTGGACCCCACAGCATCCTGCTGGTAAGAAACTGTCCCCTTCCCCCAACCCAAACCTGGGAGCCCCCAGGCCCTTGTGCCCCAGTCCTGCCCTCTTCCCTACTCACCGGGCGCCCACCTCAATTCTCTTCTGGTGTCCCAGGAACCTGCGCCTGCTCACCAGCCACCCCAGCTGGCCCTGCTCTGCCTGCCGCCTCACCTAAGCTCTCAGCTCCCCTGCCCTAGTCCTTCTCCCACCGGAGACACTACGCGTGCATTTATTATGTGCACGTGCATTTCCGTGGGCATGAATGCAAGCTTGGGAGTCTTCTTATATATGTAGTATCTGCCCATGGCTGTGCATATTCTCCTGTGCGTGCCTCTGCACACATATGTGTGTGCACATGCGTGTCTGTGCACACATATCCTGGCTGCACTTCTATGTGTCTGACCGTAGGTGATGTTGGAGGTGGGGAGCTGTCCATGCATGTGAGTCTCTACAGGCCTGAGTCTGTGTGTGTAAATCCTGATGTGAGTCCGTGTGTGCATGTGTGCTTTTGGGGATGGCTATGTCTCTGAGCTGTTCGTGCGTGAGGGGGTGGATCTTTGGCGTATCTGAGTGTGGATGAGGAACACCGGCGCTGGAGCTCCCTCGTGTGTGGAAGAAGTTCATCCTGCCAGAGCAAGAACACAGCTCTGGACCCAGCTGTAGATCCTGCCCCTGGATCCTGCCCAGAGCACCACGTTGGGCCTCCTCTGGGCTGAGCTGTAGGAGCAGAGGAGATCCTGGGGGATAGGAGGTGGGGTGCAGAACAGAACCCAGGGCAGCATCCGGGGCTGGACCTGGACTTCAGTGGGGCTAACTCTGTGTGTGTGTGTGTGCGTGCGCACATGTGTGTGCACATGTGCAGATGTGAGGCCCTGGGTGTTGGGGAACCCTGATGGGTGTCTCGTCCCAGCTTTCCTTGTTCCCTCCCACCACCAGGAGGTCACCTCCCAGACCTTTTTTGTCCTGACTGCTCAGCCCACGCTCCTGCTCCTGCCCCCCACCCCTGGGTCCCCTGAGTGACTGGACTGCCCCAGCCTTGCCCCTGGACAGGACTCTGCTCTCCAGGGCCTTGCCTGCCTCAGCCCCTCTGCAGCCCCACAGCCTGCTCGTCACTGTCCCCTCCTCCCAAGGCCACCCTCCCGCCCTCCCCTCCAGCAGTGACTTCCCCAGCCGTCCAGCCCTCCCACCTAAGACTCTCTCCCCCTGCCCCTCTCTCTGGCTTCCCGCAACCCGCTCCTGCTCTCTGCTCCTCCTTCCTTAGTTCTTGGTCTCCTTTCTCAATGGCACCCCTTCCCTCTTCTTCTTCAGCCTTCTGAACCTCATCTCGCATCCCTGTGTCCCTCTGTTCTCTGTCCTCTGTCCCTGCCATGTCCCCTGGTCCTGTCCCCTCTCTCCTCTCTACCTCTTCTCTTGTCTTCTGTACCCAGTCCTGTTCCCTCATCCCCAGGGTCCAACCCTCAGTTCTCCGTCCCAGCTCCCAATCCCTCAGTCCTGTCCTCCCTCCCCGTCCCCCCAGATCCCGGGGGCCTCTGTCCCCCATCCTCAAGCCCTCGGGTCCGGGTTCCTATCCCCCAGTCCTGTCCCCATCTCCATCGCGCTGTCCCTTGACCTCGGCTCTCTCCCGCGGTGCCATCCCTGCCCCCCCCCCCCCCCCCAGCCCAGGGATCCCATCCCCTTTGGCTCTCAGGGTCGAGGGGAAGGAAGTTGAGCCTCGGGCAGCGGGCGCCGCGCCCCGGCCCCTCGGCCGCCCCCGCCCCGCCGCCGCCGCCGCCGCCGCTCACCTTCGCCGCGCGCCGCGGACACGCAGGTGGCCGCCGCCGCCGCGGCCGTGACGACCCAGAGCGCGGGGGGCAGGCGGCCCCGGGCGGGGGCCATGGCCGGGCCCGGCGGGCGGGAGCGCCGCGCACCCTCCAGCTCGGCCGCAGCGGCCGGCGCGTCGGCGCGCTCCGCGGCTCTCCCGCACAGCCGGCGGCCGGGCGCACACCCCGGCGCACACGCGGGCACCCGCGCCCGCCGCCGCCGCCGCCGCCGCCGCCCCGGGCGGGGGCCGGCCCGTCACGGCGCCGAGCCAATCAGCACCGAGGCGGGGGTGGGGGTGGGAGACGCGGAGCCGCCCCGCGGACACCGGCCCCGCGGACCTCGCCGCCGCACGTGCGCACGCTCGCACTCACCCGCCCGCACCTTCGGGGGGCGGCGCGCGCCCCGCGTCCGCACGTGGAGTCGGGGCCACCGCGCGCGAGCCGCGCTCAGGACGCCCCCCGCGACACCGGGGCGCGTGGACACTCACGCACAGGCGAGGCGTCCTCCCGCACACGCACGCTTACACGCATGACCCTCGGACACACGCGCCCCAAGTGCCTCGCGCGGTGACAGCCTCGGATGCACCCTCGCTAGTTCCCGCGGCAGAGGCTCAGAGACCAATTCAGAAGCACTTTGGGGTAAAAACTCTCTCCCCCTCCCCTCCCACAGCCCAGTGAGAGGGCATGAAGAAGGCACCCCGAGTTTAGGGAGCGGTAGAGTGCAGCGGTCGGGAGCGCAGGCTCAGACACCAGACACGTGCAGGGTTTTAAATCCTGGCTGTGTGGCCTTGGGCATGTTTCTTAGCCTCTCTGAGCCTCAATTTCCGTATCTGTAAAACAGGAACAACCGTCTCTATGTCCTCGGGTTGTTATGAGAATCCTGTTCAAGGACTCAGGTAAGGGTCCAGCATACTGCCAGGCACACTGCCAGGTGCCCAGTAATGGCAGCCGTTCCAGATGATGGTGATTATCGTTCCCTGTGTTTCCCTCCCCTGACTTCCCCCACCTCCAGTTCCATTCCCAGCAGTAGGGATCCCATCCTGGGAAGGCTACAGGCTGTGTGCAGACAGCAGAGACAGGGATATGGGGGCTCCCTCCCGGGACCCTTCCTACCACCTTCAAGCTCCCTGAGCACCTGGAGGGCCAAGCTGTCCGGGAGGCAGGTAAGAGACCTGCAGCTCCTAGAGGGCTGGCCCTCAAGTTGGGACTCTGCCTCTGACTTTGCTGGCACAGACCGTTGCTCAGCTCTCTCCAACTGCACTCCCAGCCCTTGAACTCACTGGGGAGAGTTGGTTGGACCCATGGCTGGAGGTTACATAGAATGATCAAGACCATTCGGGGAGGGCGTTCCAGACCCTGCTTTAGGCGCTTTATAAACTCGCTCTACTTTGAGCCTCACGCAGTCCTGCAGCGGAGGTGCAGCTAAGGAAACCGAAGTGAAGGAAGAGCATCATTCGCCTTACATCACACAGCTGGTTAAATGCTAGAGAGGAGCTCAGATCCAGATCCACTGGACTCTAAAACCCACTTCCTTCCTGTGCATCTTTCTTAGTTACAGAAAGGGGGGAAATAGCTCAGATTAGGAGCCCTTTCCTAGCACCAACAGCTCAGAACAACTGTCTCAAAGACGAGGTAAGCCCCCTGTTCCCAGAGGCATTCAAGCAGACACTAGCTAAAGGCTGTTCAGGGATGCTGTGAAGGGGGTGGGGGTTAGAGGGAGCAGATTGGACTAGACCTGGAGAGGCAAACTCAAATGCCCACATGAGACAGGCGGGCATCCTTATGAAACCCACTGGGGGGGGGGTCTTCTGAGCTCTAGCTCACATCGCTGTAGGGATGGGGGCCCGATTTCTGTGCTTTCAAGTGAGGTTTTATAGCTGGAATCTTTATGTGCTATCTCCTAATATTTAAAGTTGGCAGCTAATGCAAACATTTTCATAACAACGCAGTTTGGGCAAGCCTGAGGTGGAGCGGCCACAGCTCCCAGGACTCTAGACCTCCCTGCAGGGCTCCTCAGGTACAAGAGTTCGTGGCTGGCAACTCGCTCCTGGGGCACTGGGGAAGTGGGCGCGGCGGGACAGAAACTGCACACAGAGTGCAGGATGCAGTCACCAGCACTCGTGGGCATCGCCTACCCCGGCCAGGGCTCCCAGAAATATTTATTGATGGGAGGAAGCTTTGCTGCGGGCTGGGGTTCTGCATTTCCAGGTCGAGGTGGAGCCAGCTGAGCCTGGGTTTTGCCCTTACTGCAGTCTTGTGGAGCTGGGGACTCCTTGAAGGACTCCGTAAGCACGAGGGGCGGTTCTCTGTCAGGGGTCTGCTCCATATTCCGAATGCTCTTTAGCGAAATTAGAACTGCATTTCACTGGAGTTCCATGGGGGTAAGAGCTGCTTGCTTTCAGGCGTCTCCTCGACCCCCAAAACTCCCAGGTGCCCCAGCCCTGGTGTGCTCTGTCCCGGGCCTCTCCCTCCCACCCTTTCCCCTCCGCCTGTCCTTGTGCCGCAAAGTAGCAACTTGCCTACCCGCCAGTGGGAAGAAAGAAGCCATTAGACCCTTCTCCTAAAGAAATGGGTGTCTCAGGAGAGCCTTTGGGAAGATGGTGCCTTCTCTCCTCTCCTGAGTGGTCGGGCAGGCAGGGCAGCTGGGGAGGACCCCCCCGGGCAGGGACAAGCCTTCCCCAGCGTCCCTGTCACCGTCAGCACATCTGCCGGGCTAGACTCTGCATCCCTTCTCTCATCCAATCCCTGCTTTTTCCCCATTTCAAAGGCAAGGAGAGTGAGATTTGTGAGGACGGAAGGAGGGAATAGGAAGCTCTGTGAGGTGCACGGGTGGGATCTGGGATGGCTGTGGTTAGCTTGTGTCTCCTCCCCGACCGGACTCTGAGCCTCTCAAGGGCAGCAGCCATGAAGGGTCCTGGCTGGGTGCTGCGGGAACGTTTGCTGAGTGAGTGAATGAATGAGCAGCCATCCAAGGGGCCCACGCCTCACTGGCCAAGTGCTTGAGGCCGCCGTTGCCGAAGGCCATTTCTGGGCTGCAGGACGGCTTGCTTTCTAGAACACTGTGCAGGTATGCTAGCCAGCCCTGCTAAGTGGGCTTGACCTCAACTCTCCGAGGGGTGAATCTGAACAGTGCTCACCTCACCTTCTCCCACCAGCACGTGGGCCCCTTGGGACTTCGCTCCAACAGAACAGGCAAGGTGCAGGGCGAGTGGGGAGAACTGGACCTGGCCAAGCAGGACAGCCTCTAACTCCTTCCCCCGCTTCATGGCTCCTCCCCCAACCCACGACTTTTTGACTTTTCCATCCAGGAGTGGGAAGGAAGGTTGAAGGGAGCATGACAAAAGCCCTGTGACATTCTCCATTTCCTGGGAGAAATACCCTCTCAGGAGTATTTATTCTCACTTTGCCTTTCGGAACCTCAGTTTCCCCGACTACATGAGGATGATGAGGATGTGCAACTCAAAGGGGTTGCTATGAGGCTCACATGAGTGAGTTGCACACATGCTTGGCAACCTGTCAAGAGATCTGGGGTGGGAAGGGGCTACTGTATTTGAGAGGATGGGGCTGGCTCTGGGCAGTCCTACACCCCAAGGGAAGAACTCCACGGGGCGCCCCTTCAGGGACAAGTAGAAGAGATGCTCTGGTGGGAGGTGGGTGGGTGTGAGTGCTCGGAGCAGGGACAGTGGGTTGTGGTTCACCCCCACTCTAAGCCCTGCCCTGGATGTCTTGTTGCCCCAGGCTGTCTCGCCCAGACTCCTGCAGAGAAGCCCACCCCACAGTCCCTTCTCACCCTCCACTGTCAGGGGACTGGAGGGGGGCACATTCCTCACCTTTGCATACAGAAACTTTGCCTTCTCCCCAGGCTGGAGGATGGAGCCCTGGGAGGTCTTAGGAAGAGCCAGATTGCTGGCATGAGGCCCATGTTGCCTCTTCACTTAGGGCCTCAGTGTTCCCATCTGTAATGTGCCCACTGCACCTGTTTTCCCGAGTTGTAACCGGCACGGAGGGAACGTGGTGCTGGCACTCCACTGGAGATCTGACCACCGCCCCCTCCCCAGGAACATGCTCGCAGGCTAGAGGGGAGGCAGCCCCCCAAACACGACGGAGGAAGTAGCTCACGTTACATAGGAAAGATTCACCCGGAACGTGGGCAATGTGTTTACACTTCATACTTTGCCTGTAGAGCTGGGGCAGGAAAGCCTAAGACAAACCTGTCAGGTAGAAACAGAGTGAGCGCCACATTTATAATTCACATTTTTTCTAGTAGCCATATTATAAAAGTAACAAGAAATAGGCTGCATCGAACATCATAATATATTTGTTGAGTGAATGTTGCCTGGTATGCAATGTTAATTTACTAATCAGTTCACTAATTCAACAACTCTGTTGTCGAGCCCAACCTGGCTCACTGTGCCAGGTGCTGGGATGAAGATGGTGGGGCCACACGGACGTGGTCCTCATTCCCCGGATCTTCAGCCTACCGGGGAAGCAGATAATTAACTAGGCAATTACAAAATCCCTTTCCACATAAGGGAATATTTCAGAAACTGTAGGAAAACTTAAAATAAAATTTACAATCTAAAATATTAAAAAAAAAAAGTCCTCTTTAAGCAAAAAATACTGAATGTAATTTAGCCCTTGCTCGGTGGCTCAGAATCATCCCTGTGAACAAAGAATCCTTGAATATTGATGTGGGAAAGGACTTGGAGATGAGTTCGTCCCAGCCACCGGTGGTGGGCCAGTGTGGGCCAGAGGCGCCTGCAGGCCAACTGATGGCGGGCTGACCCACCTTGATGTGACCCCGGGCTTCTCTGCTTCCCTGGTGTGACCGCGTCTTCCCCGGCTCCCCGCTGCTGGGCTCCTGCCTCTGCGTGTCCCGACGGCCTCCTGAGCTGCTGCTTCTAAGGTGGCCTGAAAAAACACGAATGCTATTAGAATTGTACGTGGAGTAAGACTCAGTGGGCTCTAAGCGAGGGGCTCCTCTGTTAGTGGAGACCGAGTTTAATGTCAGTGAGGTGGTGGCTCAGAGGTCTCTTCAGGTATCTCTCACTGTTCTCAGGTTGGAGGGTAAATGAGGTGTTGTTATAAATACCTAAGAGGCTTATTAATGGCCGGGCATGCACAGACTAATTGCTTCCTCCTGTTTATATATAATCAATCACTTCCACAGTTTGGAGCTGTGGGAAACAGCAGAACAGGGGGGAAGGAGGACCACACTGGGCTGGGTCTCTGAGATCTGGGCTGCTTAGTCCTCGTGCACAAGTCTTTCCTGTCCCGAGAAACCAAACCACGCCATCCCTTTGTCCCTCACTCCCCTGGCCTATGCTGTCTCCCTCTCTCCTCCCCGTTCCCAGGAAACTTCTTGAAGGAACTGTGTATTCCACAGACTCCACGGCTTTCTCTCTCAGTCCTGCCTCAACTCCCATCGCCTCCACCGCCCCTCAGACACCACCTGCCCCAGACCCACGCACCAGCTTCTCTGCCCCGTGCCCGGCCTCGGTTGGCATTACCATCTACCCAGCTGCACGAGTCAGGAAACTGAACTTTGTACCTCCTTCTCCATCAGCCAAGTATCCAGGACATCCCAAATCCTTTGATTTTACCACCAAAACATACCTTGAATCCATCTCCTCCTCACCATGGCTACCAGCCTGGTCTGAGCCGCCCTCACCTCTCACCGGGGTGACTGGCTCCGTGCACCCTCCCTGGGTACCTTCAGCCACACCCCACACTGTAGCCAGAAGGCCATTCAGTGCCAGAGATCATGATCAGCCACTGCCCCACACCTTCTCCTCCCCTGAGTAGAGCCTTTCCAGAGCCTTCTACTCTTCTCTCTGGATAAAGACCCAAATCCTTAGCACACCTGCAAGGCCCAGTGCAGGTGGCCTGGACATTCTCCAGGCACCTGCTCTTCCCCTTCTGTACTTTCTTGAATGTACTGTGCCCCCTCTTGCACACAGACTTTGTCCTCAGGTCCCTCTTCTGGAACATTCTCCTACCTCTATACCCCCTGTTCATCCTCAGGGAGCCCTGCCTGAGCCCTGGGCCAGGTCAGCACTCTCGCAGAATCTTGCCCATCTCCAGCAGCACCCTTGGCTCAGTTCGGAATCCTACCTGCACGTATCTGATTCCTTGATTCGAGACACCATCTTGTGAGAGCAGGGACTTCCTCTGCTCCTCCTGGGCACCAAACCTTCAACATTTGGCACACTCCGTAAGGGCTTTTTTGCCCCGTCCCTCGCTCCCTTTTGAGCCCTGCCCGGGCCTGGAACTAGAGCTAGATTCCCTTTGCTACTAACTGCCTATGTAACTTTAGACCACTCTCGGTACCTCTCTGGGGCGCTGCTCAGCCTGGGGGAAGGTCTCTAAGGGCTCCGAATATCTAGGATGACATGGCCCAGTATTCACTATACCTGTTAATCTTAACCACAGCCTTTTGAAGTAAGTTCTATTATTATCTATACTTTATAAATGAGAATAATCGGGGATGGGGGGAGGTGACATATTTGTCCAAGATGCCACAGCTACTAAGTGGCGGGCTTGGGATTTGAATTCACATCTGTGTTTCCAGAGCCCACGCATTTAGTCGTGAGGCATTGGAAGCGGGGAGAGTGGTGGGTGCTCAGAAGAGGGCAAAGTTCAGAACTTGGGGTTGGTCTCAGGGAGGGAGAAAGCAGATGCCATGTTGGCTACTGATTTGTGGGTTACCCGGTGCGTGTGCTGACCCTTCCCTAAGCCCCTCAGACTTCTGGGGGAAGGTAAAGGAGCTCGTGGCCCCGAGGAGAGGCTACGGCTGGCCAACCACAGGGGATGGGGCAGGGAGGTTCTGCTAAGTCTGGGGTCTGCAGGGCCCCGTACCCTTTGGGAAGGCTGGATTATGGGGCCAGGCCTGGGGCCAGGGCCAAACGGGGCCTGACCTTTCAGCTTGACCATGGGGTAGAGCAGGGACCCTCCCTATGGAGTATCAGGATGGGGCTCCTGGCAGCAGGTGGGGGAAAGTCTCTAAATGTGTTGGGAGGCAGCAAAGAGCTTGGGCTCTGGAGTCAGACCTGGTTGGGATCCCAGGCCTGACACTCGCTGTGCGCTCTGTGGTTTCGGGAAATCACTTTCCCTCTCTGAGCCTCAGCCCCCGATCTGTCAAATGGGGACACCACCACTGCCCTCATATTATGAAGATTGAAAGGGTTCCTGGTACACAGTAGGCCCTCCTGCATCTCAGCCTCGCCCCCACTCCCCCCACCCCCCCGCCCAACCCCAAGACCTCCCTCAGGGAGCAGGAGGGATCAGCCATGGCTTATGATCAGAAAGAGGAGTATTAATATCCCTGATATTAAAAAATAACCTTATCATCATTCTGCCTTGTCGGGAGGAGATGAGCCCACATCAGCATTCTGACAGATGGGAACAGCTCTCTGTGTTTGCGGGTATTTGCGGGTATTTGCGGGAGAGAGAGACAGAGAAGGAGAGAGGGAGGGAAGGAGGAAAGGAGGGAAGGAGAGAGAGGGAGGGAGAGCTCGAGCACACAGTGTGAGCGAGCACGAGTGAGCCTGGGTGACAATGCCTTGTGGGTGGGGAGGCCGGGGCTGTGTGGGTGTGAGTGTATGGGCGGGTGGGTGGCGGGGGCACCTCTCCAGAGCAGAGGAATAGTTTTAGGAGCGTGACTTGGTAATACCCATTATTGAAAGTATTGAAATGCTAACCAGCTCCAAAGATCTCTGTCTGATTTTCATTAAAGCTGCTGAGGCAGAGGGTGTGCTGGGAGGGGCGGCAGCTGCCGGGGAAGGTCTGATGACAGGAGCCAAAGCCAGGGTCATGACCACCTTCCCAGCCACCACCGCTATTATTGTCACTAGTCACCGCGGCCCAGAGGGAACCCTGGCCCTGCGTTAGGCCATCCTGGTCACTGAGCTGCCAGGTCGCTGAGCTGAACCCAGGGCTGCCACCCACTGCTCCGTGTGGGCCGATCGTCCTCCCCCCGCCTCCTGGGCCCCCATGCTCCTCTGTCGTAGGAGCAAAGAACCCCTGTCCCACCTCTGTCCCATTCCTTCCATCCATGGTTTTTTTTTTTTAAGATTTTATTTATTTATTTGAGAGAGAGACAGCGAGAGAGGGAACACAAGCAGGGGGAGTGGGAGAAGCAGGCTTCCCGTGGAGCAGGGAGCCCGATGCGGGGCTCGATCTCAGGACCTGGAATCATGACCTGAGCCGAAGGCAGACGCTTAGCGACTGAGCCACCCAGGCGCCCTTCATCCCTGGTTTCTGAGGCCGGGCGATGTCGGGGCAGGGGCCAGTGGTGCTCTCCGGGAACTGCTAGTCTGACCTGGAATAGGCCATTTCCAGAGGGTGGGTGGGAACTCCGAGAAGCTAAGGAAGGGTCAAAAGGCAGGAATGCTAAACAGCATGGTGATGGTGTACATGTGGGGAGGCGGAGGGGAGTCCTTACAGGCCCAGAGAGGGCAGCTGACTTCCCCAAGGTCACACAACCAGCAGCAAATGTGGGACCAGAACCCAATTGCCCAGCTCCTCGTCCAGTGCTTCACAGGAGACCATCTCACCGTGGAGCAGCCAGAACGTGGAGAAAGGGCAGGGCTGTAGGTTTGCTCACATGTCAGCCTTGGGGCTAGGCAGGGTGGGGGAGTCTCTGTCCTGCTCCCCAGCAGGGCAGGAGGAAATAGTCAGCTGGAAGGGGTCCTCATTTGTGGGGTACCCATGGTAGGCTGGATGCTTTGCAGTTCCCCTCTCTTCCAGTAACCTCACTCCAAGGTTTCAGGGGTATCATGCCTCTTACACTAGGCTCCCGGAAGGCTCAGAGGGGGAGAGCAAGCTTCCAAGGTCACCCAGCCAAGGAAGCAGGCAAACTGAGAAGTGAACCCAGGGCTATAGGATCCTCAGATCTGGGTTTGTCCCTCTTGGCCAGCAACCCCCTGGGGGCAGGTTTCTTGGGAAGGAGACAGAGTGTAACTTGGAAGCTGGAGACCCTCAGTGGCTTGGGGTCACCTAGAAGGAGCTCCCAAGGGTCTAGTTTGATTTGGAATTGTTCCCAAAGCAGATTTACTCCCTGGGATGCAAGTGGAAGGGGGGCTGAGAGCACGGGGCTGCTGGGGGCCCAAGCTGTTTGAATTCTAGCCAGGCTGTTCCCACTCCTGGCCCAAGGTCATTTGATCGAGGAAGAAAGCAGCTTCTCAGCCCTGCGTGCCCCGCCCTCCCTGCTCTGAGCTGGGAGCTGGGGGAGGCTGAAGGACAATGTTCCCGGTGAAAGCAGATTACCCCGCCAGTGTGAGGGGCCGGCTGGGCGGGATGGCACTGTGGTGACAGGTCCATCAGGCGCCTCTCCGAGGGGATGTTTCCTGGGGCTCCTGGTGACAGGCCCGGGCTGTGGAGGGAGTGCTGATGAGGTGGAGACAGCCTGGCCCCATGGCTTGGAGACAGCGATCCAGCTCTGGCCTCTGGGCAGGGCCTCAGACTCTCTGATGCCTCCTCCTTGAAGCCCTGGGAATCACCCAGTCACCGGCCTGGTCCCAGCTCTGGACCGTCCACTGCATCTGTCCCCTCTTCAACTCCATCGCCTCCCCCTCTCCTGGCCTCGGCCTCCCCGCCTCCAGGTGCCCCCCCTCCAACCCGGCTCCCACGCACATCCAGGGGAATCTTTCTGAACGGCCACACGCCCCTGCTTACCGTGTGCAGCGAGCCCACTGCCCCAGGAGAAGGCTCAGCTCCTCGGCCTGCAAAGCCAAGCCCTTCGTGGCATGGCTTCTGCTTCTCTCTGGGGCTACATCTCACACCCTTCTCTCTCTGCTGCAGACCCTTGCACGTGGCACCCTGCCGCGCCCTGCCACCTCCCCATGGGGCCTAACCTCTACTCCTCCCACAAGTCTCAGCTCGGACTCACCTCCTCCTTGAGGCCTTCCTTG